CTTTTATATGTCCCTATTGTTTAAAACATTGACATTTACTACTTCTCTATACAATACAACATATACCTAGTTGTAGGATTTTTTAAATATAATTCAAATGTTTATAAATAATTATTTTTAAACGAAGCACAATATAATACTTGCACGATATTCATTAATTTCACCTCGCAAAGGCAGAACTCAAGGTCTTAATGATTATATTAACCTAATTCTTCATTATAACGTCAGTGTTTGATTAATTAATATATATGAATATTTATGAAAACAAATATTTCAAATGCTTCTATGAATAAGCTTCCCGTTCTGATAACTTACATGGTCACTGATAAACATACAATTCATATAGGAACGTTTTGCATTAACACAATAGTACAGCGACATACGGAACACATTCCATCAAACATTATCACTGCCACTATAATTATTTTCAAGCATATTTAATATTTTATTCTAAAGTAAAATCCTTTATAGAAATCTATAAGATATATGAACTCATTACAGGTACCTAAGACCTTATGAACCAATGAAATTGACGAATTGAAATAACCCAACGATAAAAAAAAACGTCAACCTTGACTTACATGGTTATGTTTTATTAAACAAATTCATAAAAATAAGTAATTATGTCGAGTAATCCCTACTAATATTATAAATGCGAAAGTAACTCCGTCTGTCTGCCTTTCTGTTACGCTTTCACGCCTAAACCGCTGAACTGATTTTAATGAAATTTTGCTAGAGACATAGAGTTGACCTTGAGGAAGAACATAGGATAGTTTTGATCCCAGATTTTTGAAAGGTTCTCTTGGAAACGCGATATAACCGAACTCCACGCGGGCGAAGCTGCGGGCGGAAAGCTAGTATCCTATAATCCAATGAAATTGACGACGAATTGAAACAACCTAACGATAAATAAAAAGGTGAACCTTGACTTACATGGCTATGTTTTATTAAACAAATTTATTAAAATAAGTAATCATGCCGAGTAATCATTTATATGAAAAGACATGCTTAGTTATTTCAGTTCAGGAACATTTTTTTGTTTTTATCACGATAATACAGTAAAAATTTATGTTTACTTCATATTTGCATTTATAATACACATTCTCTACAAATTTGTTGAAGTAACGAGTAGAATGCTATTACGACTAAGTGACAAATACTTTTAACGTAAGTATTGCGTAGTTATAATCAAAATGGTGAAAAAGGCTCGACTAATAATAAAATCGACTTCAAATAACATCTAAAACCAATGTCACAAAAACATTTAGTATGTACAAATGAACGTCATTTTGTAAACAGACACGTGCATTCATACCCCATACGTTTCAGTCACAAAAATTAATTTCCTGCAGTCGTCCCTGCAGTGTATACAGTACCGGCAGATGAAACACGTCGTTTGAACTACGCCGTGTTACATACATAACACATTTTATATTGCTTTAAAATAACTTAAGATATTTTATAACTAGAGATGGTATTTCAAATTTATATTGGTTTGATAAAATATATAGGCGCTAAACAATATGTTTGTATATATAACTAGTGCAAACAAAATATTGACTAATTGAATCATTTCTAGTGATAAATTTCATGTGATGCAGTTAAATCAAATGATGCAGTATTAATGAACGCTCTTCCAATCGGATGATCGTATAGAATGACGATTGATTCCCGCTTTGATTCGTTATCATATTGTTGATTCAGAAAAAATCTAATTTATTTCTAAAAAAAAAATATTTATGTTAGCTCCATTTTGCCATAATAATTTTATATAATTTATCATTGTATATATATTTTGTAATCCGTTTTATCATGTAAAAGATAAGATATAAATACATAGTCTCTGCTACGTTAAGCACGATAGTAATTGCAGTATGACTTATAATGAAAAGAGTAAAATTTGTACACCGCATTACATGCATACAAATTTGTTCTGAACCAAGTTCTTCATCACGAATGCGCTAACCTTACCAGCACACTGGCATTTAATAATGTGAGTACATATACATGTAAAATGGTAATCATGCTGTGTCAACACACAGAAATATCTAGATCCAACCGTGACCCAGATATCTCACCAAGGAGATGCCAGGTAGATGGTTTAAAAAATCCCTCTTCATTCAAAGAGCAGTGCCGGCTAACTAGAGCATTCTCTGCCGCTGTTATGTAAGCCATGAGTTTCTTAATGAGGTATTGACGTTTGTTCCATATTCGTTATATGCTACTAATGACCTATTTAGAGTTTGGGACAGTGTATAAACTTTGGAAACTTTATAAACTTTTTTGGATGGAACAAAAATAATCTACGTATTATATATTTTCAGTACAGTACAAAAATATTATAAAGAATATATCGAATAAGTCATATTAGTTGAAGTTTAGTAAAATTATAACAAAAAAACAAAGTACTTACAAATAATAAAATATTAAAATTACCGCTCTTTTATATTTTGAAAGCGAAACAATGAACATTAATATTAAAATTATAAAGCTGCCCATTAAGATAATTATATCGTGACATAGATGTATCTTTAAAAACAAACGTGGCCTGGAAACTTAACAGAGATAATAAAGAAATTGTCTGCGATTAAAAGAGGCTCTGTGATGTATGCTAGTATTAAAACATTCAAAATATTATGAAACAAATTTAAATAATTACTCTTGTTAAACATTTTAATAGCGTATATTATATTACGAAAACAAACTAATAATATTAATTTTAATGTAATAAATTTTACATAATATTGAACGTCCGCAAACATGACCATAATGAGACCAAGTCTGTGATCGATAAGTTAAATCCTTCAAAGTTAAAATTGTGCTTGCAGGAATAATTAGACTGCACTGCGCTAAAATCAAACCTAAATTAATTACGTATACCTAGTATCCAATGTAAAATTATATTTGGACTTTGTATAGTAATCAATCTATAATAAGATAGTATTTTCATATTAAGAAATGATAATAATCAAAAGTTTTGTATGTCTTTATTGTCTAAATATACCTAATCTTTGAAGAAAAACGTGACTATACAAAAGGTTATTACTGTATACCTTTATGGTAAAAAATCTAAAGTAATTCCATATATGATACAAAAACATAAGGCAACGATTAAAATAGAAAATTTTTACATTTATAATAAATCGATGAAAATAACGAGATGCAAATGACGAGGTGATTGCAAATGATTGTTATTATTTGTCAATAGTGTTTACATTATTACGAGGTTATGCAAAATTATTTAAATACGTGCATTTTAAATGTATATTAAAGAATAAAATTATTTTAAAATAAAATCTATTCTAGAGCAAGTGAAGAGCTTACATATTTATTGAATAAAAATTACATATTATATAGGTATCTTTGAATTTGTGTAATTTCAATGTAGATCAATAAACAGGCAACCGTATTCAATATACATTGAGTAATATTTGTAGAACTAATATAGCCGACTTAATAATACAATATTCTTTAGTATATCAATATTAATAATCTACAGATTTACTTTATGAAAATTTCTGTGACACATATCTTACTGGCTGTCAAGCGCGACAGTTTTGTTCTTGCTCTTTTTGCGGCCCCGGAGGGACATAACTTGACAACTTACATGTAGACGCATGTATTAAGTATAACATGTATGTATGTAAAAAATCATAAAGATTAGATTGTCTTTAATTTTATTTTTAATTTACTAGAACAAACTTAATATTATCTATAGTATTCTCAAGATACGATTCAGCAAAAAGATCAAGTTAGAGGAATTCCATCTATAGTTTCCAATTCCGGTACGTTGGACATAAAAGTGTGATTTTCGTTGCCATAAAACGAAACGGTCGCATCGCACAACCTGCAATATTGAACTGAGGACTGAGGACTGAGGGCTGGGTTTGAGCACTCAGCGTGATGAACAATCCGTATCAGGGTTGACAATACAAACGAACACTAAAATAATATAATATCACACAAAAATATTGCTTCAATTAACTTTTTTGTATGTTATAATTAAAATGTACTCATAATGATGTGGTAGTTCTCATACAATACAAAGCCAACGGTGAAATTAATTTGACTTTCAGACAAAAGACTAACAACAAAACCTACATCCGTAAAAATTCTCATAAACCATTCTCTCAATTTAAACAGATAATTACTACGTCACAAGATTAATTACATATTCTTTAACAATATTGATAATATAAAGATAAAAATGTATGGAACGTGATTACTTCAAATAACGTTAAGAAAAACAGACAATGTTAAATTACAGAACGTAGTGTCATCCCTAAGTGTTAAGGCTTTTTTGGAGCAAGAATACTCTTATACGATCATTTCAACAAGTAGGACGCGGACACAAGGCTGGTCTTTTAAACGGACAGCGAAAATATTACTATCGGACCGTGAATATTAAATGTATGTACATATATATACAGCGGGGCTACATTAATGACATCACCTGTATTTATAGATTAATGGAGATAGCAATCGAAACGCCCGCCACCGAACCAATTAAGGTAACGGATAATGGAACAGGAATATACTTTATATGTTTATATTGATGAGTTTACGCAAAACGATGGATACGTGTCAAATAAAAATATACAATTAATAATATTATATTACTCATATATAAAAATTTTGAAAGTATCATCAGACATAGAAAATATTATAGGAAATAATGTTACCGTCTGATAGAATGGAATTGAACATTAAATAATAGTTGGGTGTCTAATTTAGAGTAAGATTGGTCTGCGGTTTACTTCAAACTGACAAAGAACTGGTTTTGCACAACCAAGTCAAGCCTCACTAATCACTGGCGACTTCTTTTGTTATATTTTAAAGAGAAAATATTTTCATTGTTATAACATCTCCGGCGACGAAAAAAATAACATTTTCAATGTAATTTCTCTAGCACCTCACTATATTTTCACTAGAGTGTTATATATAATTCACAATAGTACACACTGTCATCGTATATTTATTCGGAATAGGTCTTTTCTAAGTCACTTATCTCGGAATCCTCCCTTGGCACCCCTTCTCACAGCCGCCTTATCCACAAATAGACGAGAAGCTTCTATACGAAACATTCGTTTCCTCGGAATGGTTATTTTATTGGTACACAGAGCTTGCCTAATCAATTATTCGGTACGTTGATGTGTTATCTCCCCCAACTAAACGCTGTATAAATGCGACCAAATTGCGCTCACGTACACCACCGTCTAGTAAGCATAAGTAATTAAGTTCGTGTACATTCACTGTACTACAGTTGGACTATGATGATTTATCTCTCTATTGAGAACCATAAATAAATTCAGTTTCAACACATGCTTTAAATTTTAGAAATATGATATTATGTCTCGAGAGTTGCAAAATCAAGAATAGGATAACCTACAATAACTTATTTAATGAGTTGTTTAATATCAATGTCAAATGTGCCATTATTATTGTGTATAAAAGAATAAAACGTTATTTAAGTCTAAAATTAAGTTTCAAGTATGAATTCTTTACTCATTAGTAAACCTTCTAGAGAAATCCTCTCGAAATATGTCTATCCATTTTCGTAGTATGTATATAGAAAAATCCACGATCGATATTTTTTTTTTGAAGTCTTTTTGAAGAAATTTAATATGTGCCTAGTATTAAAAGTAATACATTTCCTCTACTGATAATTTTTAATATATATAATAATAATAAAACCTCCGGAATATTTAATATATTATTGCACGTATATGATACGAAAGCATCTCTCGAAATATACGAGTGAACCGTTTACAATTCGCTGGATAAATATATGAAATGAAATGTATATTTTTGAAACGATGTTATTTGAATTTTATGCGAAATAATTTTTTATTTATTTTAATCACAAATCATATACACATGAAGTTTACTTAATTGTTAAATTAAAAAAAAGATTTTCATTATAAATAGAGACGATATTTAGTTTAGAAAATTTAAACTTGTTACTTATATTAAATTTATGAAACAATTTCACGAAATTAAATTCACATAAAAGGCAAAATGACTTCAAATATTTGTTTAATAGTAATAAAAGCTTTCTGGTACAATAGAAATTAAACAGTACATTTATTATGAATGAAGCATAACCCTACAACAATTACCTTTGCAGAGGTGGTTACGTACTGAATCCCACGCGAAACCGTTAGCGAGCCAACATAATGTACACCTACGGGCTAAGGGGATACTAATATTATATTATATCTTATAATATTCACAATAACTTTATTACATTTTATATATATGACTGATTACTTCTTAAGACTTCATATATCAATGAAAATGTCATACATTCGTTTGTAACTAGCCTTATTTTAATATGTCTGTATTAACTTAATGAGAGTTAAAAAACCAAAGACTAATTTGGATTATTTTTCGAATAATCGCCTAAAAGAATATTCGCCTTCATATTCACATACTTTCTTAATCGTTAATAATCTTTTGACACATATATTAAAAAGATATTTGATTCACAGAAAATATAAGATGCGATTTTCCCTCCGAATCGAAGATATTCCTTTAACGAGATATAAAAAGAAGTGAAAAGCAATTTTGACAACGCCCTGCGCTATTTTAGTTCGTTTATCTCGAGTTCGGAAGAAGAAATTATACCAAATTCAGGAACAAAAGATATCGGAATAATGAATATAAAAGTATCATAACCTCGAATTGAGAACCCCAGTGCCTTTCTACGTTCATATTATGTAGATTAAAATTCAGGATCCCAAAGCCACAGAAATACTCTCTAAATTTTGCATAATAATCTCGTAATGACATTCATATTGGAACTGTGATAATGGATCCCTCTCATTGGTATGTACATATATGTATGTGTGTATGTGTGTATGTGTGAATGTATGTATGTGTGAGTAACTCTCGCCTCGAGCATTTCAAACTATAAATTCGATCATTATAATCTATAAGTCATCCGCTACTGAATGTTCGCTGCAACGTCACATAATCTCTTTTGCGATTATTCATGTCAAAGGAGACATTAAATTAAGTGCTGTCTTGAGTAGATTTATATATTGGGGTAATTAGGTAGGTCCTTAAAACAATGAGGGATCTTTTGGATAGTATTAAACAGTAAAAGGAAATTAGTTTGTTTTTAAGTTAAAGTTTTTGTAACTAAACCTATGGATAGTGCGTTTTTATGTTTGTACCTTTCTGTTTACATTGATTTTGATACCGATTGAGATAAAATTGATTATTGAAGTACACAAAACCTTGAAAAACAGTATGATTAGGACAAGTTTATATCGCCACTATACAAAGAAGGCATCACCAGTTTCTCAGTCAATATTATAAAGTTCTAAGAATTATAAATGCAAAACTAAAATCGCTTCATATGTAAAGTGACAAAGGAAGCTTAGAATAAGCATACTGATTTGATTACGCGTAACATCGAATATGCAGGAGGGTGAAAACACGAGACCAAACTAGTTTATATAAATAAACTAAAACACTATCACAAAAATAACACTTCTGTATTTTCTACAAATTCAAACTAAGTTAAAAAAATCGATACGTAAAAAAAAAATCCGTCTTCAATTCAGGTCAATCAATAAAACGGAATTGTATTATTAATTTTTAAACACATAACAGATAGTTATATATAATTCGATTATATTCCCGGTAGGCGTGAAGCGATTCAAATTCTGTTACATTTAATAAACGTCAGAAGCTGAACTTTCGATTAGACGCAGATAGAAAGAACGTAATCCAATTCCATCACGCCGTACAAATACCGCCTTTTACTTTTTACTGTTTGAGTTGAATTAACTTGAATATCAAAGGAATTTCCATTTAAATTTCACGTTCACAGAGCTTTTAAAATCATATAGCGCATCCTTCATACGAAGAACGTCAAGCGTAAAGTAAGCGAAAGTTCCTTGACCTAACTAAGCCTGACTAACATATGTTTAGACTGTAGTGTGACGTCATTATAATTTGATACTTCCACACCTAAAAAGTGTCATTCCCTTATATTCGATTTATTATTTTCATCAGTATAAACGAAGCTGAATATTCACAAACAGCAATCATAATATTCATTTTAAATAACTGATGATAAAAGAGCTCCTATTTCTTTAGTCGTATTCCACAAAGATAGTAATATATTAAGCGACACCACAGCACGAAAGGGAAAAGAAAATTCAAGAGCCAACTAACCAAACAACTCCGCAATGAAACCGCACATTATTTTAAATTTGAAACTAACTACACTAACTCTTACATTTCGACGTACAGAAGCTAGAATATATATACAGGGTGACTAGTGAATTACTATCGATATTTGAGGACGTGATAGTTGACGATCATATATGACAATAAAAATTAATATAACATAAATATTAATAAACTTCTAAGTAAAGTTAACCAAAAGTTGTGTAATTAATTACGCATCGTATGAACACCCTACAGATTAGGTATACAGACACACTCAAACACACGCGGCGGGGGCGTGGTTTTGTATCAGTACGCCGCCGCACGCGTCCACACTAGGAACACTTGGAACGTGTCAACACTTTATTTATTTATACGGAAATTTGGTCAAAAATTAAGTACCTATTTTTTTTACATAATTCGAATGAGAATCATGTACCGACTATGCTCCTTAAATATTGATATTAATTCACCAGTCACCCTGTAGAATGGATTTACCAAAGCATGAAACACACGTTATTAGTAACAGAATATGCCACCGTAATGACAAATATTACCAGGTTACACGATATCCGACCAATGGAAAATTACAAACTATCATACAAATGGCTACCGATAATTTAATTAAAAATCTTTCATATAATATACTTGTATACAATATTACTCTTGCATTATAGAAGTATTGAAATAAAATTTATTTCATATTTCAAAGCTCTTATGCGAATTGCTAAATGCTTATGCTTTTCCATTTCAATATTATCTATAACTAATCTCCTCAACATTTTTATATGGTGATAATTTTTATTTCTATCTCCTATATTACTTGATGTTAATGTTCTTCAAGGTCCTCTTGACACCTATTGCACTTAGTTAAATAAATTACATTACAAAACGGACACGAATATTTATTACCATTATAAGATATAATTATTTCTTATTTATAGTAAGTAATTAAAAAAAAAATATTTTTATATATCAATGTTTTGCTATGTCGATGATGTAAGACTAGTTAAAATACATTTTTATATTGTGGCAACATGTTAACCAGAGCGTCTCAGCTATCTGAATGCATTTGTTGTATCTTTGAATAACTCAAGACGATACTTTCGAAAAAAATACCTTATTTATTATAATAGTCGTATAATTTTAATAAAATTCGCGTGTTCCACATGATCCTGACCTTATCGTGTTGAAGAATATTATTTCCTATGTTCTCAACATAGAAAATACCTAGTATTCTTGAACACGACAAGGCTAATATTTTAATGTATCCATCTGATTTAATATTAAAAGTAGGTTAAGGATAAATACAGTCAGCCCTACAATTCAGTTGAGGTTACTATTATAAATGAAGTTAATTACGATCTTTATTACGATCATTCTTTTATAACTGTATATAGTCAGGATCACTGTGTTTTACACTCAGCAAAAACAATTGTAGGTATTTTTTATACCTAGTATTTCGATATCAATAATTGTATCAATTCATACCTATCTTTGTCGTGTGTTGACTGTGGGTACTGGAGAATGGTCTGTTGACCATCCATCTCCACGACGCATTGTGTACCCAATTCGAGTTCTGCAAAAAAAACATTGAATTAGCAACTAATATATGTTAAATCAAATAAACTAATGTCATGAAGTTGAATAACAAAGTAGATAAAATACTATAGCGATAATTAGTTTTATATTTAGCAAAGTAAATAAGATAATATCGGTAGAACTATGTATATATATATTTGTATAAATGTATGTCAGTCTTCTCGGATGTTCAACGCCAATCTATATTAATCACAACTTTCAATGTATATAAAAACAATTTATCTATACATATATTGTATTCAATTGGTATTATGAAAAAATAAGTCCTATAAATATACTAGGTACATAAAAGTATGTCAACTTCATATAAGTAAGCATAGATACTTATAAGTAAGCATAGATATATAAAAACATATATGTATGCATGTGATAAAAACTATTCGTCGAGGTGTGACATGTGTTTGTGTTCATAGTTATTAGTAGTTGTTTCCGACATGAGCTCATGAAACATGTACGTTAATATCGTCTTATCAAAAACTTCCCTTCGACAATGATAAACTTCGTTAATCAGACGAACGACGCTTGTATTTTACTGCTTTCACGAAAAAACCCAGCTGTTACATTCTATACTACATATTATGATGATGTTTTACAATAAAAACTTTCCGTTTTATGATACGATCGTAATACTTTTGGTAAAATTCAAATACCTAACTCGTTTTCGGCAAGACGACAAACTCTGTAGAAATTTTTCGTACATTATCAATGATATTACGTGATAATAGTATACACAAACATACAGCCTTACTCTATAAGCAATGAAGGCGCTATGGTGAGTCAGGCGAGGTCGTCGCGTCAACAACGATTCTTTCAAATCCGGTTTTACTATACCATTGTATTGCTCTAGGCAAATACTTAGCTAACGGTCATAAATTTCGATCCACAACTCTTGTGTAGTTTAACACTATGCCAGTATAAATCCTATTTACCTTTTTCATCTAAGTATATCAACTATACTGTAATTTTGATTATAAAGCAAAAGTATGTAATATTCTTCCTGTAATGTGAACAGTTCTTATGTTAGCCTACAATAGCCTGTTGCAAAAAATATTATATGTACCTATGTATTGTTATATTCAATATACAAGATTTTTGTATAGAATGTATTAAATATAGCTAAAGATGACACAAAAATATATTACATAATGTCGACTTCTGTGAAATAAGCCTCAAGTAAAGGCCTTGATAAAGAATACTTATCAATGCAATGGAGACTTTAATGTTGTCTTTCCAATTTTTTTGCCATCATATTATATGACAAAAATGTAATGTAATTTTTTATATTGAAAAAATATTTGTCTGTGTATATATTGATTATGCAAATACACATATATAAACAAGTATGTCCCGGAGTGATATACTTGTAAAACTTTATATTTCCAAGTATAAAGGATGTATATACAACAAGTTCATGTTTTAAAATTTTCCTAAGTTTTGTTTTTATAGAATTGAAGAACAATTCAAGGTCACCTTAAGGTCTTGTGAATATTGTTAAGATTGAATATCACATTTAAATTTACCCAAAACTTATAAAATTTTTGCAAAAACAGTTCAGAATGCATGTATCATTGATAAGTATTATATGTTCTAAATAAAAAAAAACTAAATATACCTAAATGTAAAAAACCTAATTGTACTCTTTATTACAAAAGCATGATAAATAAAATATCTTTTTTAATTATCAAGCATTAATTTAACTTCATACTAAGCAGGTGACACACATTTCAGAGCTAACACCTTGACAACTCATTATACACTTTTGGTATAACATTTTAATTAATTAAAAATAATAATTGTGGTAGAGTTAGCATATATTTTTGTTAACCACGACATTTTTTTTATTTAATTCTCACTTATTAAAACAAATTAAATTTTTATCGAACAAAAGAGAAACAAAAACATTTTGTAATAAATGAAGTTGGTCGAAACGAATTATTAGATCTAACCGGAATACGTTGATAATGTAAATTTTATAGCATATAAATATTAATACGTAAAATTCAAAGTTAGCTAAATGATAAACAATAAAAGAATGTATTAAATAACTAAATATTCCTGATATAATCAGTTTTATCAGAAACTCGTTCGTTACACAGATAAACTCAAGCACACGTAGTCACCTGTACGATTGCAAATTTCTTTATTTATTACAACTACGAAACCAGCTTACCCCGTCTGTTGAAGGGACGAACCCGAACTGCTACTTTAATCTTATCCGAGGCCATGATTACAACTAAATTGCACAAATATATTCAAAACACAACACTTTTCACTATAATGTACGCTAAATTATTGCACATATTCACCCATATTCTAAAACAACAGAATTCATTATTCACGTTATATCCTCTACGTTCCCAAAATGACACTGTCCGCCATGTTGTTTTTACGCTAGTATAGTGCTTGGAGTAGACTGTAGAAGAAGAAAAACCGATAATGTCTAATGTAGATTTATGAATTACAGATTTATATTAACATAGACACATGTGTATGTGCTTATAATAATAGAAAATTTTTAAATCGTTTAAATGAACTGTATCGGTTCTTCATGTAATTTTAATGTCTATAACGTGAAAAACTAAATTTCACTCAATTTTTAAAAATATACTTTGTGTGAGGAAACTGTTTAAATGATTTATTTTTTCAACCCTTATTAAAATATGACATAGATCCTTAATTGAATTTGATTTGAATTTAATACATCAAAAAGATCTTTAAAGAAGCCATAGCTAAAAAGTCAGATACAAAAACCATGTGTCATTTCCTTTGACTTTTACAATGTAGGTAATTCGCAATGGTTGACAAAATATGACAATTCATGGTCAAAACTTAAACAATAACAATAATCTGTCTGCCGACAAATATTACACTTCATACTCATCAAAATATGGCTACAGAAGCTTTGTTTGGTTGGGATTTAACTTTTAAAACTGTTGAAAAAGATATAAAGCAAAAATCAGACGTTATTATTGCTTTCATACACTGGAACTTGACAAAGAGAGGTTTTCGAAGTATTGGAATTGGCGATGAAGTTAGTAAGCTGGTCCTTGTAATAAAATACAAAATAAATGTTTATTACAACCTTTTAATATTTGCAGCGCACTCTATCAGGAGATGAAGAAAAAAGCGAATTATTACCAACTGGATGGAATGACAAGGAAAATTATACTTTACGGTATGTTTATGAAGACAAATTATACATACTCCACGGTCTGAACAGTGATGGGAATCTTATTGTTAATTTAATGGTAAATATGATATTATTTGACTTCAACACTAAAAAAACTCTGTGATATATATTTATGCAAATAATTAAATGTCTTAATATTCAGAGATCTGAAGACTTGGCCGTCTCGAATATTGCATTGAAAGTGGAAGAATCTGTTAAAGACATGAGTGGTCCTATAGACAAGGTCTTACCTGGCTACAAAGACCTTATGTTCAATGTGAAAAGAGACCTTATTGATACAATCACCACAAGATCAACATCAAGCGCTCAAACTCAGACTGTCGGGAGTAAGGAATTTAATTCATAAAATTTACAGAAATAATTAAACCAATATAAAAATTAAACAATTTGTTCTTTAATACTTATTCAATAGAAGAATACTTTTTCAAGACTACTATTTGCTACATAAAATTTATCTTAATATTAATTATATAAAACATATGTATATATATAGTCATAATGCTTAGGTAATTTGTTTCATGTTTGCAGATAATACAAATAATCCGAGGCCCCCAATTGAAGATCCTTTAAGAATTCCACCAAGACCTGCACCTGGAGTAGTCCCTGAAAATCCTAATTTATGGTAAACAAATAACAATTATTAAATTACATGAAGCAAAAAGAAATAAAATTATAAATCAATAAAGAGAGTGGTGTTAATTACATTTTTTATAACCGAAGAACGGCTGTATGGATTTTGATGGAAAATATTGGAGGTTTAGCTTAGAATCAGGAGAAGGAGATAGGATACTTTTAACTTCATTAGAACAAAAAAAAGTTAACAAAATCCAAAATCTGTTTATTTACTAGCTTGAAAGCGAAGCAGTACTGCCGGTCAGATATACATTTCTAAATATGAAACTAACATAGACAGAGTTGTGGGCAAAAGCTAGTGTTATCTAAATTACATAATGGAAGTATATTATTATTGTATAATATTCACAGGGACCTTCCACCTGCTAACTTGAGAAATGTTGGCCGATCTGATCTAGATCCCTTCGCCCCTATGGGTGGTGGAATGCTTTTCAATCCATTCAGTCCCGGTCGTGATATTGAAAATCCCGGGCTAGGAATACCTGGAGGATTACCCAGGTAATAAGATGACAATCAATATATATAGATATAGCAAGCATTTGTATATGTCATGTTTGGTTATGACCTATTTTAATCTCTTAAATTTCACATTCAAAGTTATATTTATTTTTTATATTTTGTATATGAGCAAGTTTCGTCAATACTGTCAAGTCTATAATGGATACAAAAAAAAATCTTACATATTTCTATAACAGATTAGAACAAAAAAAAAGTATTGTTCATACATATAGTTTAAATTCCTAATAATTGTTTCCAATTTCACTAGTTTTGTCTAAAGCATATTGTAAATACACTTAAGAGAAATTTAAAAATTAAATAAAAATGATGTAATACATAATATCTTGTGCGGTAAACATATTAATACAAGTAACTAATAAGTGTTACAAAATAAATATATACTTATTTGGCATAGTATGCCTTAAACAAAGCACCATCTCCTTAAAAACATGTTCTACTCACAAACATTAAGCAACAAATTGTAATATAGGAATTAATATAAGTATTAGTATCATGTATTAGGAATTATTATTATGAGATTATTTCTTAGTAACTACATATATATTTCATTCCCATAGGGGCTCGGTACCACCAGGAGCAAGATTTGATCCTTTTGGTCCTCCGGGAGTGGGTCCTCTCCCTGGCCGACGCCCGCCTCCTCCAGACGCCGACCACTTACCACCTCCCGGATTTAATGATAACATGTTTATGTAATAACAATATGTACCAATAAATATATTTTATTGTTATTCATCATTCATTGGTTATAACTAAGAGCGACAAGCAATATATTGTTAATTTTAAAAACAAGTAACAACAGTATCTATGGGAAGGTTTTATGTAAAATTATTTTATAATAAAATACCAGATATAAAGTTGAATATATTTCAAACTTTTTTTTTTGTAATCAATATTTTGCATACTCCAATGTTCATTTGGATTTGATATGGAGTTTGTAAAGTTTTATTCCATATCTTTTAATTTTTGTAAAATATAAATCTCTTGTTATTAAAATAATTTATGCGTTCATAGTGATATCTTAAATTTTTGTGTCAGATCTTAGAATACATTCCTATTTACTGATAAAAATTAAGGTCGAGTACAAATCAATAAATAAAAGGTTTAATAAACTGAGTAAATACATTATTTGTTACTTTTAACATTTATTAAATGTAATATAAATAAATAATATTAGAAAAAAAATTACTCTCGTTACCTACATTCTTTTTACCTATGGCGTATATGCCATAATATGTAGACTACCATAATTATTATTTATTTAGTAGAAAATAGTATTTTACGTTTCATAAAGTGGCAATCTTAAAGTTCTTTTGAAGTCTGGCAACTTACAGATCAGTCCTACATTTTTTTTGTGCGAGGCACACGTCTCCCGCGTGTGTAGTCAATTTATTAGCTGTTCACGGCTGAATCCGCTCAGGTTTTATTCAATGTGTATGGCTGTGGAGGTAAGAGTTTTAATTTTGTTATAATTTACTAATTTATTGTATTATTAAACTATAAACAGAAGGTCGTGTCCTCCCTAAGTAAGGACGTCATTGCGGGCGTCGTGGTACGATTATCATTTTCCTTTATATGTTAAAGTTGCTAGAGTTTTCCACTCCTTTAAAAACACGTCTACATCACAGTAATAATTGTGGTACAATTCTATCACGCAATGCTTTAACGCAGATAAGTGTTGATTGTAGGTTAGAAAAAAATTATAATTTATTAGTCATACTTCGTTTAATTATTATATATATCAAAGAATATGATCATTAAAGTATACTATTTAATATGAAAAGGCAGTAACAAAGTCTACGCAATACTATGAGAATACATGTATCATATTATTGGTTGATCATTCATATATGATTTTATATTTTTTATTTTATCCATATGTATATTGTCAAATAGTGTATATAATACATTCCATTTAAATTAAATCCAATAATGATTACTTACAACTTGAACTTGTATTAACATAATACCCTCATTATTTTTACATATTGTTGAACTTGGTAGAGGTTGGGCTTTCATAATTTCAAATAACCATCATTGTAATAATGAATACATTTTACTTAACATATTTAACAGGTCATACTATAAACTTAATTATAAATAATGGTAACCTTGACTTTAAATTATTGGATAGACAAATAATAATTGTTTATAATTTATGATGAAATACAATCACTGAAATGCTTTTCCTATGAATTCTTTGTTAAATACAAAGAAACAAGTCTTTGAAGCATATTTATTACAATTAATACTTTCTTGAAACACACAGCATTCTAAATAAGGGATTCTTTGAAAGATGCTAGATACCACACAATGAGGGATTTTTTCTAGAAATGCAGGTAAAATTCCAAAGAGATTAAAGGTATGGCAAAGGACCATTCTTACCTGCCTCAATGCATTAAATTTTAACCTAGTATGGATAATTTATATACTATGGACATTTAATTAAAGTTACACCTGCCTAAAACATTACTTGGATATTTAAATTTTGTTTACAGCCATAGCGATTAATGAAACAAAATTTATTTTACAATTGTTATGTTACTTGTAACATAATGAGTAATTGTTAAATGAAACCCATTATAATTGTTTTCATATTTATTACTCTTTCAGGCAAAATTTACTAATAGATTATTATTTATATGACCATATTTTTATAGTTCATGGCCACTAAATGTACGTTTAATAAATGTAAAGGATACATTGGATTATCGACCTTAATGTATTATGAATAGGGCTTGATTTGATATGTATGAGGATCGTGACGTCACCTCTGCGCCCTATACGCGGGTATATTAGAAATTAGTGCATTCAGTATAAAGATACATCACTTGTCAACACCAACGTCACTGTCGCATATGAATGCGTCCTTTAAGCGTTCCGTTGACGTAAATGGTTGTTTACGAATAATGTTCCACAATTGAAAGAACACATTCAAAAATATTTTCATTTATACTTTTGATATAGGGGTATCAAAAATAATTCACATTTTTTTTCCTTTAACCTTAACCTCTATAACAATTAGTATGTTATTCTATAATAATCGCTAGCTTCCTGTTTTAATGAACATTATTGTATCAGGTTCTGTATTAGGGCTCAGGACATCGACCCGTCCTTGGCTAGCTTGTTGACCCTGCGTCCGCGTTCACATCTATAGACCCGTTATTCCCGAATATAATACGAATATTTCTAGAAGATATTACTGTAAATATTCAATATTTATATTGCATTAATGAAGCGAGTTTCGCACCAATAAAATCATTAAAGATTATACATCTATCTACATATAGGTATATGTGAATGTACATTTTTAAGGTCACTTAAATATCGCCTGCTATTCAGGCTATATATAAAAACATAAAATAATATCCCCAATACCGGTGATAAAGACTTCTTTATGAGTACTTTATTTAATTAGTTTCGACGGGCCCGAATTCGAGTTAACGCGATGCTGTCATTCGCTGTTGGCATAGAAACAGTCAATTAAAATTTTAAAACTACAAACAAGTGATGATTTAATTAATGTAGAGTTTTAAAAATTCTTTTAAATTCTAAATATAGAAGATTCGTTGCTAGTAATAATGGTAGTATTGTTGACTGTTTTAATTAAGCACAAATAATCTTAGTAAGAATTGCGCATGATATGAATCATATGTTGACGGAATGCGTTTTAAATTTGGATCATTAAGATTTTAAAATGGCGAAAGATTATAAGTTTTATATTAAAATTAACCATCACAGCTAGATTACAAATAATATTATTGTATATAAACAAAGTAATTTCCTTGTTAACATAAATAAATGTATATTTTTATTCAAACTCTGGTTACCAATTGTCTATAGTCGGGTAGCATATTTTTTTTGGACCGGATTTCGCAACCAGCTGACGTCCTCACATTTCACTACACAGCCTGTTAAACACATGCTGCCAGACTTTAGAAATTTTGATTACGATTGAATTCACATTCGCAGTGAATATGGCGATTCAATTGTGTCTGAACCCTTTTAATGGAGGATATTAGAGGAATTCCGTGTTTCCGAGCCATCGTCCTTAAATTGGTCGTATTGTATGGAGGGCTGGTTATACACCGGTTCGTAGAGCAGGCTAGGGTCGACGCTCGCAACTCCTGAATGGCTTTCGGACTAAAAGGGCGTCGCTCTCATCAGACTTTCAATACATGTACGCGCATGTATGATTGTCTCAACACTGACTAGAGGATTTAAAGCATTTTATTAATATGTATGGCTTTAGTATATGAATATTTTATGAAGATTATTCGTAAAATTACATGTAAAATCAATTTGAAATACATATAACTTTTGCGAAAATTTATCTTCAGTTTTATAAGTGTTTGATAACAAATTATGTAACGTATAATTTTAAGATATACAGTTAAATTTATTGTCCTTACATGAGACTTAATCTTTATAAATTTTGTAAATAATTAAAAGAAGTTAATTATTGTGAAAGAGACATTTACAATTTTTCATATATTTATTATTTATTTAGCAATTATTTCACTGTTTTTTATACATTTGTTTTATTAATTAATGTATAATTTTTAATTTAGTTTTCCTGATTTCATTTCTAAACTGATTTTTTGTCATTTTATCTGAAAGATAACATTCAAATGATATACAGGGTGACTGGTGAATTACTATCAATATTTAAGGAGAATACTCGGTACATGATTCTCATTCGAATTATGTAAAAAAAATAGGCACTTAATTTTTGACAAAATTTCCGTAATAATAAGTAAAGTGTTGACACGTTCCAAATGTTCAAGTGTGGACGCGTGCGGCGACGTGCTGATACAACACTACGTCACGACACGCGTATGTGTGAGTGTCAGTGTATACCTAATCTGTAGGGTGTTCACACGATGCGTAATTAATTACACAACTTTTGGTTAACTTTACTTAGAAGTTTATTAATATTTATGTTATATTAATTTTTATTTTGTCATATATGATCGTCAAATATCACGTCCTCAAATATCGATAGTAATTCACCAGTCACCCTGTATAAATGTTATCAAGAGATTTTTCGCGTAGAAACGAATAAAAAAATGTTTATTTTTAGTATTTTTGTATGGTTAAGCAAATAAAGAATTGAGCAAATAAAGAAATGTAAATTTAAAAACTAATTGCGTTATGGACGATGGTTGTAATAATTTCTGTTTTAGAGTAAAATGCAAACAAATAGGAGCGACGTAAATTCCCTGGAAAATGTTGACGTCAGAACACTCACACCTACACGAGGTCCATTTAATTTATTTTAACTAGACTCCGACTAACCGACTTTAAAACAAAGAGGTTTTCTATTCGATTCTATATAATATGGGCGTGTGCAAATACTACGTACGTCTAAATAGATTTTTGTTTTTTCGTTAAATTCTTTAAGACTTATTTACCAGTCATATATTATTTGTGTTTAGATTCGATTAAAGAGTTTTATATATGAGAATTTAATCATTAAGTTAACTGCTTGGATGATATTCATCTTGGTATGAAGATATATGTATTACGTAATTTCTATATCTTTGATATGAACGTCTTTTATCTTAATGAAAGATTTTTTGGTTTAAAGTACTTTCTTCTTACTATTTTTGTATGCTTTTTGTACTTAAGTTGTCTACATCTGTTATAACTCTTATTTTTTGTTAAACACAGTTTCGTCAAAGAACTCCCTCTATGTTAGTCTTTTTTAATCCCTTTTACTAATTTAAAAATTTGTATTAAACGTTTCATCTAAGTGTTAATTCAAGGATACTAAGACTATCGTCATGAATAAAACTTTCAATGTTCACGTTTTAAAAATACCCTTACTTCTCATTACATATATTATGCCTGAAAAATACTATAAAAACAATGCAATAAACGTGAAATCATAAACTATATCTAATGTATGAATACTAAAATATCTCACATCTCCTAAGATAGCTAGTACTAGAATATTTTAGGTTCTCCAAGTCTGTTATATTACGAAAGGGGTTACAGCGGTACTTCCTAACCAGGTCAGTGAGCTAGGTCACGCCTCGACCGGAGCGCCACGGTCAGGACACGGCAACGACACGGATACGATATATACATACGCGTTACGATCACTGTAACATTTAGTATGGACTATCAAGAATCAAGATGACTGAAGCTATACAGGGTGACTGGTGAATTACTATCGATACTTGAGGACGTGATATTTGACGATCATATATGACAAAATAAAAATTAATATAACATAAATATTAATAAACTTCTAAGTAAAGTTAACCAAAAGTTATGTAATTAATTACGCATCGTGTGAACACCCTACAGATTAGGTATATACACACACACACACACGTGCGGCGGCGTGGTGTTGTATCAGCACGCCGCCGCACGCGTCCACACTTGGAACACTTGGAACGTGTCCACGCTTTATTTATTTATACGGAAATTTGGTCAAAAATTAAGTACCTATTTTTTTTACATAATTCGAATGAGAATCATGTACCGAGTATTCTCCTTAAATATTGATAGTAATTCACCAGTCACCCTGTATAGTATATAGCTTGTCTGTCTGTGTGACGCAGGCTTTATTTCAGAGATGTTCCGATTTCGTTTCTGACGTCACAGATCACCTTTTTGTCCTCGTCTATTTATCACTATAGTTGAATATGTCTCGCCTGCTACGTCATAGCGACGCCATTTAATTTACTTTTTATTTACGCACTATCTGAATAATGTCGGATGGTAAATATTCTTTCACATAATACTTATCTTTATTGAATAATTAATCCGATTACGATGTTGTTTGTTGTCGCACAATAGATGTTGCATACCCATGTTTAAATTTTTACGGATAGATAGATTAAATTAAAAGTAAAGTACGAAAAAACGTCCTTTAAAATAGTAGTTTTGATTAATATCAATCATGCACTTAATCACCATCATTTCATTTATCATTTTCATATTAAAAATTCGATTTTATCTCACTTATAAAACCTATAAGAACTTGCACTAATAAAAGTGAATTGAAGTCTGAGAGAAATTGTTTTTTATACCAAAACTGACGTTAGAATTGTGATTCTATTTATAGCTTGGTATCTAAAGTCGAAAGTGAGTTTTATTGGTGGAACGGCTGAAGGAGCAGAGTGTAGGGGGCGCAGGCGGAGTCGATGACCGAGTATTGATCCCCGCGAACTGGGTCGCGACCTCTATACCGTTGCATAGCATGGCAGGGCTGCAACTCTTGTATACGGACTACACACCAGTATACAAATGACACTATTAACATTGTCATATACACATGTCACAACTTGTGTTGTATCTCCTACTTACTGTTCAAACCGCCGAAGGTCACCAGCCCTATACCTTTTCTAATGACAATCCATAATTTTAATCACCGTTATCATGATTCAGTCGAAGTTATTTGAGTCACGTAAATCAGCGATGTCCCTTAGCCGGTACCAATTAAAACTTTGAAGGTCTCACGATAAATTGACGTACGAATATAGAATTGTATCAAAGGTACCTACGTCTTGATTTCGTTTCGTAATTAAGGAGGGGCAGGAAACTATCGTTGTATGATAGTCCCTGTAGATCCCACTAGATGCATCTAGTTCTATTGGTCTGCTTGAGCTCGTGAAAGTTGATTTGCACCAGCTCCCCTCCATTCCACTCCAACACAAAGCGCTCATGTTACATTCACTTTCCACTGACAGAATGTTTACCCCCAGTGTCTATTCTGGGATGTTTATTGTTTCCATCGTCGATATTAACGATCCATAAACTCTATATAATATATATAATTTTCATTATTCGTTATCTGAGTATGATACAATCTAGCGGAACGGCCGTAAGGTCTTATCGAACGGAAAATTCTCGACAATGATATTTTTAACATATCTTTGATTTGTTATCGTCGTAATGGTCATAACTAATTTTTATTTAAACTAGTTATAACTCTGTTTATACTTTTTTCTAAGAAGTTTTAATTGGAAGCGCCGACCTTCTTATGTTATTATTGCAACGTGATTGCGTCGCGGGAAGTCTTATTTATTTATATACAGCTGGGAGACTTAATTTTCCTTAAGAGATATTTATTTTTATATCCAAACTTTATCTGGCATCGGAAAAGTTTGGCTAAAACACTTGTTTCTATAGAAATTTGTATACAAATGTATGTGTATTTCTGGAATGTTCTTAACAGTATATCCACGTGGTTATTTATGTGTGTGTGGCACCATACCACAGCGAACACGTTTTTACGGTGACTGCAAAACTTAGAGCAACAATAGCTTTGTTCCGATGTTTGTTCAAAACCGCACGTTGTTTTAGCTTGCCACGTGATTTGTTCACGTTGATCGAGAAAAGCTCATACAAATTGTATCGTTGCCAAATTTAACAGTAAATTTAAAAGTATTCATAAATATCTGAATTGCTATTAAATGTTAACGGGTATTCACTTTCTGTAATCTTAATTATGTTATCTAAGTCTATAATCTGACGTTCGTTTTACGGAATCCCTGATAATGATTTCATTGTTGTAAATATTTCTTTTTAATATAATACGCATATTTATTTATTACGTCGTTTTCCAAATCCCTATCTGCCTGATCTCGTATTTGTTTTATAAATCAAATATGTTATGTATTTTTCATTCGTTCATTTCAGTACATTCCAATGTTTCACAATTTTCATTTTAATTTACTAACAACATGAGTCATTATTTCACCATATTTCTCAGCCTGACGATTACAATACCTAGAACCTAATCCACAGTTGTTTGTGACATTTGTTGACAGATCTTTCAAGCGATTATGTCAATGTCAATTGTACCTTTTAAATATTATCTATGTAATTTATTACCGAGTTTTCTGTTTTCTCCTTAATTTACTTTTCACCTGCAGGTATTTATTAAATAATCCTTGCATTAGGATATTGGTATTTTTAAGATTTTAATTATTTTTATTTTGACAATCCTTCCGAAAGTTCTTTTAAACATGAAAGTATTATTAATTTATAATTTACTTGAGTCTTATTTTGTTTCACACAAAAAGTAAAAATATTATTTTGTAAGTAAATACATTCTTATTTCTTTCCCTTTGTAATAAATTAATAATTCAGGTAGAATTTTTGAGGTACATAATGGTATTCCCAAGAAGAATGTTAGTAGCATAATCTCCATTTTGTTTTAGTTGTCACCTGGTCATGTTTTCAGTCTATGAGTGATTTCAACTCGTTTGTTTTGCAATTAATTGGCTATATTAATGAAATCAAAGTTCACTAGCTTTGATGAATATAATTGAAATTCTAAGAAGACCCATTTCATGTTGTTATTTACAGAGTTTGTTATAATGAACGTAATTTCTTGAATATAAATATCGTTAATAACGCTACAACGTACAGTATATCTTGCAGCTGCGTGGGAGTTAGCCTGGATTCTTTCATAGTTTTCTATTTATAGGACGTGAATGTCGTCAGTTTAATCGAATTTTCTAAGGGTTAGGTCTCGATTAGGATTTCTAATTACGCACTATCTGGCCGATACAGTCAAAACATGTCTATAAAGCGATGCTCGTTCACACATTAATGATCGCACTCGAATATTATTAGCGGATTGTTCCCGTCGATGTGTTTAGTCTCGCATCTGCCATAAAATATTATAACTTCTAAAGCTTCGTGTGCTAACCGTCGCTAAAAGTTAGGCGATAAGTTTTGATATGTGTGTGTGAATGATATGCGTGTGTGGTTGGGATGACGCCATCGCCGGCGAGGGCGGGTGGCGCGGGTGTGGGAGGGGGTGCGGGGCGCGGGCGGCGAGCGTCGCGGTGACGTCGCCTCGCCGGTCGCAAATTCCTTACTTCCCGTTCCCGCCGGCCGCCAGTCTCTGCTCGAACGCGGCACGGACCGTGTTGACCCGTTGCGATGTGAACGCCTAAACTCATCATCTGTCTGCGGCGACAGCTTCTGTTACTTGTGCATCAGCTATTAGTTTGACGTTGTGTTAAATATTAACTTTTTTTTGATTTCATTTAATAGTGTTTCAGATATTCCGCGGGAAACATGTAAGTGACGTTTCAGTGTCATACTTTTGTGGTCCGCTTTACTGACACGTTCTAGATACGCTTTTAAACTCACATCGAAATAGATCTAATTATTGTAGACTTTTAACCTTTCAATGTCATAATATTATCAGTTCCGATACTGTTATCGTTTAATTTCGTCGGATTCGTTTGAATTTCGGTGTTAGTGTCAACAGGTGTTCTTAAGAGCGGGAGTGTAGTTTTACATGGTTGCTCTTCAGTTGATGGATTTAGTTTTAAATGATTCTCTATACTTATCAATGTACCACAACGAATTCGTATCTAAGATTAAGTGGACGATAAAATTATCGGTACAATCGGTACAATTGGTTCGTCCTCAATCATCTTTCCGAAAAAAAAATTATCTATACTGTCTATTCCATGAGACTAATAAATTTTTTTCACTTAGATGCGTTGGGTCTATAAAGTTACCGTTTTACGTACCTATAGATTAAGCCGTATCACTAAGATTTATTTTTGAAACGCATAAATGTTTCCATAATAAAAAATTAAATTTTGAAATAAAGAGCATTGTATAACAAACATAACGTGATACGAAATATAAATGTTATTGTATATTATATTTTTTGTACGTAATCCGTTTTAAATGACGCGTGATTTAAATTTTCAACAAGTCGGACTACCAACGGTGACATTTGTCTAGTGTGTTCTATATTATGGTTCACGTTGGCATTGGTAATTGATATTGTATATGTTAACCTTCTGTAAGTACTTGAACAAACGTCGAGCGATCATTATATATTCTCATAGAGAAAACAAGCAAAATTGTAATTATACATATACTATAGATTCTATAAAGTCATTTGATTGGACGCGTGTTGAAACATGACCAATGACCAAACAAACGTCTTATACATTTCTATAGTTTACATATAATTAATCACTGTCGGATAGAAATTTCTATTCACTTCACATCTTAGCGTCGCGATTGTTTATTTATATTTTGTTTGTGATTATATTAAACAATTTTAATACAATACTATAAAAATTATATATACACGTCAATCAAGGAAACTTACGAAGGAATAAAAAAAATATAGATGTTTTTTGAAACGTGGTAATAAAGCCTCAACAAGAGTTAAGTGCATGTAGTTGTTGTCTGACCTCGATCGAGTACTTCCTTTGTGTTCTATAACATTTTCCCTGTTTTAAAAAAATATATATTTCAGTGTACCTAATAAATAACTATCACCTGGTTACTCTTTATAGTCCTAGTCACTTATAGCTATAGTTTTTTTCTAATAGCCTGTTCATATTACCCTTTACGTGAACTAATAAGCTTGCATGAATATCGTCAGAACGTTTCTATTTAGCTTTCTCGTATCTCACCTCATCTAGGCCACGTTAATCCAGCTTGTGTTTGTAATGCATAATGTTTCAAACGAGCTGCACATGCTATTATATATGGCTGGTTTAAACAAGCTATTTACACTTGTTGTGGTTAACTTCGTCCTTTGTGGCCGTCGTGTTTGCCACGTGTAAGATCGCTACGACAAACAAACAATTGTTATAGCTGCTAATTACAAGATCAAGACTCGATATAATATGGCGCTACGTGTTCATATATCATTTACATTTATAATTTTCATTGTCAAGGTCATACGAATGTGTTAAAAGGCACTAATGGTTGAATGTTAAGTTCGTCTAATTAAAGATAGATTGATACCTATTGTCATTAAGAGATAACAGAGATTTTCAATCGTAAATATCATGCGTTTTCTTAGCTAAGTTACTAGTGAATACTGCAAATGATAAGTACTTTGTCATAATGAGTAGTTTCAGTCTAACATAGGTCCCTAAGTTATACATATATGGAGTTGTTTCATGACCCATGTGTTTTGTTGCTGTAAATATATTAAATATTCCAAGGGTTGTCTGGATTTGTGGCTGTTGTAGAGGTCAACGACCGACGACTAGACTTCGGATTTTAGAGAATATTGCACCCTTGGACCATAGTGTGATTCGATCGTTTGCAAGTTAAATAATTTCTGTCTAGAGTCTAGACTCTAGACATAATAAACGTATGGTGTATTAACGCCCTTGTCTGTGTTGTTCATTTAGTGGAAGAGATTAACCGAAATCATCAGTTTTCGGTTTAACTAATCTTGTATGAAAATGTTAAATATTGATGTTACGTAATTGCTGAGATGTTTATCTTTGTTCTCATTAGCTATTTATACTCGAGCTTGGAGTTTAATTAAAACAATATAATTACGAATGTAACAATTCTAAAAGCGACTAATTATTCTCCTTGCGCTGTCCAAATACCGAGAGTGAAATACGCAAGTCGGGAACCTCTTGATCTGTTTGGCTCGCTTCCAAGTCTGAAGTTCCAAGTGATGTCTTGATACAGTCAAATTATAAGTAAAACACTAAATAACAAATAAACATTCCCTTATTTATATGAATTTATAAGTGAATCACTGAATTATCACCAACCATGTACGTTGGTTATGTAAAAAGTTAAATATTAGTTTTATATATAGTGAATATCCATCGCTGTCTGTCTGCCAAATTTAGTTGCGCCATCATTTTGATGTGTCTCACCCACACAGCGACATCCTGAAAAATATATTTTAAAATGTACGTTGTAATTTTAATAAGAGGTTTTCTGAGAAAAAATATGTCCCATGACGTATGGTCGGTAAAGAAATATTAATGAATAAAATTTTCATTTGCTTTCCAATTAGATACATACTCTTTAGTAGTAGTGTGTTAATTTGATTAATATACATATATAGTTTCTAATTTAATAGCTATAAAGTAACGGATGTGAGTAAGAGGGCTGAATGTAAACAGTTGTATCTTATTGTTTCCAGCTGGGCATTTGTTCTGTGGCGACATTGATGGAGTTCCGCTTGGACAGCGCGGAGTACTGCCAGGCTCAACACAAATAAACCGGCTGGTTCAAGACGCGGCTCACGGCGCCGAACCTGAACCCATGCTGGGAGCAAGCGACGCACGCACCCCGACCACTGCGCTATATACACCCCCCTTGTAAGTACGAACTCACTCACTCACTGTTTGTTTTACTTGAGAACGAACCGTATTACGAGATGTTTATCAAAATACACAATGTATTGCGTAATGTTTATATTAAAGTTATCATTGTGCTTGTACGTGCCGGAGTGATGTGAATGTTCTAACGAGTGATGCGCCATTGGCACTGAATCAGAACTCTCAGGATTGTACTCGACTGGACATGTACTCGCATGACCTTAACACTGCTTTCGAACTGTGAGCTATTTTTAAAGAATATTTTTTAATTCCGCTTCAGTCGCCATCAGTTGTTTGACGCGTCCATATGTCCAAAATGATTAAAGTATTCTGTGTGTCCGTCATCCTCGACACGTCCCAACTAATGTTGCTATCGTTTCTGTTTCAGTTTCCTTGAATTCGGATCCCGCTGCTGTTGAAGCGTATAATTTGCTGAAGTTAACGTCTTATGTTTTGTCTCATAATTCCTTATTAGTTTCGACCCCAAATTCGGAAACTTTGTACTGTAGTCTTTGAATGCGGTCGAGTGGTTGAAAGCGACCTCAATGCGGGTGGTTCTAATCATATAATTGGACCCTTTTTAAAGAAAAGTCACAAAACTGAAGTGTGTTGTGTGGAAATAGAGTGACAATTTGTCTGTTACACTCTTGACGGATCGCTGCGGTATTAGTGACGCGAGTGTTACGTCTAGCGAGCGGTGAGCGGTTCACGGTTGACATCGACTGTGACTGTTGAAGAGAGACAGAGAGAGAGAAACAGAGAAAGAGAGAGAGAGAGAGATCATCGTCACCATGAAGCAGAAGGACATCAGGCCGGCGCCGTCTCTCATAGAGTACAAGAACATGCGCTTCCTCATCACAGACAGACCATCGGATGTGACCATCCAGAGCTATCTACAGGTCCGTACATTAATATATATTACAATAGTATCATACAAAAACATATATATCCTAATAACTTCCCAAGAATGACAAAAAAACATATTACATAGCCGTTATATGTTGACCAAGCCTTAAGCATTAGTTCCCCTGGAAAAAACCTGCGACAGAAGATCTGTTTGAAGTAAAAATTATGTAATTCCATTTGACCATATTAAAACTAACAAACTCTATATTACACAAAAAAAATTAACGTCCCAACTCCCGATTTATGAAATCTTCATAGATATGAAAGTAGCGGGTCACTAAACCTCTTTACGTCGCCTAATCTTTATAAACAATCTGCTTTATTCTGTTGAATGTTTTATGATTTTGTTTACTTAATACCTTGGACGTCGTGTCGCGACCTCCGAACAAATGACATGTAAAGTGGACTGAATAAAGACGAGGGCTGATATACATGGATTGTTACACAAACATTCTTTTCGATAAACTTATCGGTTATCCATATAAATAACAGACTTTCAAGGATCTTTGATATCAATGAAGTCTAAGAGTTTCGCGAGTATTCATTTAAATTAAACTAAAATATTCGTATTAGTAGGCATATTTTTTTTTTTTTTAAATTACATACGCCCGACGTTTTGGTTACTTTGCAGCAACCGTGATCACGGGCAGACGAGACGTGACTTGAATAAATAATCCGAAAATGAGTTTCATCTTTTGCTATCAATTATGTTCACTCAAAAAGTTTTTATATAAATAAAACTAATTATTTATAATCTAATATTTAATTTTTAATCGTCATTCATCGTCTAGTTGTTGGTATATGTGTTATTGGTCCAAAACAATTAACCGTGATATATTTTCGTAACCAATCGCCTCGTCAGTAATTCGATCGATCAAACTATGACGTCAATGGAAATGATATATGGAATTGATAACATCATTAGCTTATTAAAGTTATCGTTACATTTTTATAAAGAAAATATTATAGGGATGAAAGAAATTTATACTGTACTTTTACCTTACTCTCTAGTGAAAATTTTCACCCATATTTTCATTTAATTTCCATTACAATAATTAGTGAGATAGAGATAAATGTTAACAGTCTCATTTAATTTAGCACACAAAATAAATGTATGTACGATAACTGAAAATGCTATGAATAATTCCACTCTAATTAGTTCAAGGTACACAATTAAACTACTACTACAATTGACAAGTATTTCACAACTCGTCTTCCCGTGATCGCGGTTGCTGGAAAGTAACCGAAATATGGGCAGTTTATAGTTTTTTTTACAAAAATACAGCACTCGTAGTATAACCGAAAAATATAAGTTTCATTTAAATGAATATGAAAAGTCTTAGATATAATTATGTATTACAAATAATAAATAATTGATGTATGTAATTAATTATTATTCCAGGAGCTGAGAAAGCACAACGTGTGTACGGTGGTCCGCGTGTGCGAGCCAAGCTACGACACGTCTCCTCTGGCCGGAGAGGGGATAGAGGTGCGGGACCTGGCCTACGACGACGGGACCTTCCCTCCAGCAAACGTAGTGGATGACTGGTTCGAAATACTCAGGGACAAGTTAGTTGACATACATCTTCTTCTACCTAGCAATTTCCCAGCTTGAGCCAGGGTCTGCCTTACATAGGCCGCGGGCTGGGCGAAAGCGTTACAGCGGTCTCTTTCCATCTTTTGTGGCGAGGAGGAATTACGCTGGTTTTTTAGTGCTTAAACCTAGGAGTCCCACATAACCACAACTGCCTACCCCGGGTAGAGTGGTATGGGAAAAGCATTTTTCCAGAAATAACAAAAAAAGGGTCTGCCTTACATCTTGTGAATAGTTTTGGCTAATTGTTTTTACGACCGGCCGCCTGCCTGACATCAACCCCCTTTGGGAATGCATTAATCAGTGATTTCTAAATATCTTAAGTACATATGACTCGGAAAAATCACATTGGTACTTGCCAGGGCCAGATCAAACCGGGCTCTCGTGCATGAGAGGCGAGCCTTTTAACCACTAGGCCACCACAGACTTCATATATACTATTAATATAATTTACCAAAGAATTTGACTGATAGTTTGATAACTTTAACGTTTGTATGACTGTCTCTGTCTATATTGTTTGCTAGTGATCACGGTTTTGTATAGTTGTCGAAACCTCGGGAAAATCTCGTAAATATCCAAAATAGAATTTAACTTTGAATGTATTTTGTTTTGCTTGCTAAGCAATCTCAGATTACTGCATTAGTATTGTATATATATGTAAAGCGTTAGAATAATTATGTCAGCATTCTTAAGTTCGCTTGAATTTAAATAGCACGAATAGTAAACACTGAACCTCTAAGCACTACCTACAAAATTATTCCTATCTAGTTGTTACTCACTGGTTATTAATACCTAATATTAATAACTTTTATAAATGGTTATCTTTAGTATTAGGTTTCTGACTATAATCATGAGTCATGAACACCAATCACCTTAATGTATACCACTTGCATTCCTTATACAAGAGACATTTAAAAATACGTAAAAATAAATTAATGCAGCAATTTAATGCCTTATAGAATACAAACCAATGTTCCATCATTAAGGATTTTGAAGAATATTCAGGGGATCATATAAAATTTCATGCTTCGCTAAAGAAATTTTACATAAATATTTGAAATGCTCTATATTAAATAAAAACAATATGACTTAATCCGAGTGATGTCTTCAAATGATCATAAGTAACAGTTAGGTCTGTATAAGCTACAAAAATTTTAATAAATCTGAAAATGAATTTCGACAGAAATTTGTACACCTTCATGATGAAAAAAAAACAAACACAAAAATGCTGTTTTCCAAAAATTATATAAATTTATATTTGTCAACATAATCTGATGAAGACAGATAATTTTCTTTTCGAAAATGTTGTTTGTAAACATCCTCGCCTTTTTGGCAGCCTCCAACTGTATATTACGCTGACTAATCCGCCAAGTTTTAGACCAACTTACTGCTTATATTCTTTAATAAGTATCTATAATGCAAAAAATATATTTTATTCTTAATATTTTAGCTTAATAATTGCTGTTGTATGTTATCAGAGCAGCTAACAAGCCGGAGTCAGCGGTGGCGGTGCACTGCGTGGCTGGTCTGGGCCGCGCGCCCGTCATGGTCGCCATCGCGCTCATCGAGCTCGGCATGAAGTACGAGGAGGCCGTTGAGACCATACGGGAGTGAGTAATAATAATAATAATATCTTTATTATTCAAAAAACGTTAACAGTAACTATAATTAACCGTTGGTCTCCACACTAGGTAAACCTGTGTCGTTGAGGCCATACAAGATTTCCTAAAGACTTATTGTTACTGAACTAGGACAATATATTTTATTAATAGACTTTATTAAGGAATAATATATAAGATACAGTCTACAGACACACTCACACACACACAAATACACAGAGTTCAATATACACACACATACATACATGTTCATATACATTGAATAGACATGTCCTCTTCCACTCATTCATACAAGCACAAGCTATAATTATATACATTGTAGCAGTTGTGTTAACAGACCACAAACACACACAAATGCACTTGGTGTATTTGCGAACATTATAACAGATATTAGATGTATAGTTAATTTAAATAAAATGATGTATTTATACTCTATTTATAGTTGTAATATAACGTTCACAGCCAACGTCGAGGTGCAATAAACGCGAAGCAGCTGTCGTACTTGGAGAAGTACCGTCCTAAGTCGCGTCTCAAGAAGAACGGCCACAAGAACTCGTGCTGCGTCCAGTAGCGAGGCGACTGACAGCGAATGTAGCTCTGCTTTCACACACACACTCACACAAGGGAGCATAGACAACAAACTAGTTATAACTTACCCGTCTCGCCTTTTTTGACATATTTTTTCTTTATTTTCTCTAGAGGTGATAACCATTCTGCCTGCCATCATGCTTGGACCCATTCAGAACGAGCCCTAACACAGTGTGGTTATTATCTCCTACTGTCCCGTACGTTAGTGTTTCTATACATTTTGAGAGCCTTATTGCAAACTACTTAAAGTGAACCCTTGTGCTGTACTTTATTAGATGAATATGTTTCAATGCAAGCCACGATTTGTGTTCATAGTCAAAACCGTTGCTCTGGTGTTTACATACTCGGATCATAATAAGCCACAGTAACTCTCCATAATAAACACTATCAAGTTAAATTTTTGTGCTTGCTCTTATTTATGGTTACATTTATTTTCTTTGTGTGTTGAAATCATGATATATTTCTGCTAATTATAGTTTATTTTTTTTTTAGTAGAGACTTTGTAATGTCAATAAAAAATAAGACATAATAGGAGGGTGTCCTCGTTTTTTCGCTTGATATGGTTCTGTCTGACTTTACTTATTATTTCGAAGTCTTCATTATGTTTAAGTATAGCCACGTCAGTTGAAGTAGTTCTCAAAGAAATTATTTCTCGAAAGTTTTACAACATTGACTAAAAAAAACCTGAAACTTTATTGTATCCTGACACAAAAATATGACTTACTGAATGTTCCAATAATAAATTATATTTAAATAGCACTGATATTAATTATTTTTCTATTTCTTATTTATATTATTCAGATTTATGTAATTAGTGTGCAGTTGCATTAATAAAAAGATATCAAAATAAAAAAAAATCTTTAATTATGAAATGATTCACTTCAAACTTATTCCATTTTATATATTTGTTTTCAAGCCGCTTGTCTCACGTGACTTGTTCTTAAAAATAACATTGTACGTGAAAAGCCAATATTGTATTACAAAGTATAATATTCTGAAACTTATATATTTATATCCTGTCACTATAACGACTACTGAAATTATTTCTGCAAAAAAATGTATGGTAATATTATTTCTTATTTAAGTTATGAAATAAGCTTTTTGGTATCAATATCGCAATTAAATCATTTTTTACTCCATGTGTTAATTGGTATATTTTACGAGTACGTTTAAGCTAAACGATGTTCTTTTAATTCTTTATAATTGAATCGTGAATAGCGTCAGTACGACAGAACACAGCCAAGTAGTTTCTGAAGATGAAGCAGGCAGATAACTTTATTTTACGTAGTGAAGTGATATTATACAAACGATTTATATGTTTTACAGCTAGCGAATATATGATTTCACTTTTCATATGTGTATTTTTTGTAATAGATGTACGACGCATCACATGTGTAAACTTCTATAGATCAATAATTATATTTCTCTTTTCCTAACCATGGTCTATTCATTAACATGAGTCGCCATACCCGTTCCCACGTTATTGTTAAGAAATAAAAAGAAAAACATTATAACGCTTCTATAAAACAACACATTTGTAGTCGAAATTTTGAAGTATTTACTTTTAAAAAACAGTGCCTGCGCGCAGAAACAGTGAAACTTTGTTATATGGAAATGAAAATAGGAAGGGTTAGAAAACAATTTTTAGTGAAGTCTTATTGTTTTTTTAAAACTAACGATTAATTATATACATTGTTTACCAATCACAATAATTGACCCACCTATTTACTCTCGCTCCGTCTCTTTCTATTCCCCCCTCCACAGGAGCGTTGAACGTTAAACGCAACCTTGTTGGAAGTCGCATTAGTGGTTTTACTTCAAAGCAGATAGCATTGATTTATAACATGGGCTGGATTCCTTTTTGGTGGAGGCAGCTTTTCTTTAGTCAGATGTTTACAAAAATATTTTTTTATTTAATTTTTCCTTTTACCATAAGATTTAGTTTAAATGGCAAAAGTTTATAATTATCTAAAGTATACGTAGCGATAAAGTGCTGCAACTTTGCACCTACTAAAAATAAATAGAAATCATTCATAATGCATTTTCAGAGCTGCGACTGTTGAAGAACAATTAATCAGGATTCGTTGCTTGATTCAACATATCATTTATAACTTGCACATTATATTATTATTAGTCTGGCTTCAGTCAAAGAATACCTACTCAATGAAAACTACACGTGCATCGTCTTATTTGGGATTAATAATTATAACTAATTCCCGAAAAAAAACAAGAAATAAATGAGATCTTGGTAGGACTGATTATTAAAAAAAAAAACAAAAATATTTCTCTTTGAATAAGTTTTTCTATTTAATAATTTGAATTAAATAAAACTCCATCGACGTTGTTAAAAAGTCTCTGTGTGTTGTTTTAAAGCCGCAAAAATCCGGGTGTTGTTGAATAGACAAGATCGAGTTAATCATAAAGATCTACATTCCTTTCTTTGTATGTAAAGCTCCCAGTACACAATGGCCCATGCGTGCCCACTACAGGCCATCGCCATTGTGTACAGGGGGTAATGGTATATGATGGCGGACAGTTGTCCATCGTGGCGAGCAATCGGAGAGTTGTCGGTTTTTTGGGCACACTTCAAAGGAATCGTGGCGTAACGTGGCCTGTGGTGTTTACACAATCGGCCATTGTTTAGTTCGTCACCGGCCGCTGACCGGGATAGTTGTGTCGCAACAAGGTCGCTTAACAGATTGTCCATGAATTGCCTGAAAACGGTAAAAACAATCTTAAGTAGTCATGTTGTTTACGTTAACATTCTAAATATTAATATTATATCCTAAGTATCACATTAAAAAATCTACGTACCTTGTCCTGTTTCGATGAATGGTCAACATCCACCATCGCCTTTTTCGCCATTTCCTTTTAACAACCTTGTGACGGTACACACTTCTGTAATACTTGTAAACAGTATACAAATAAATAGCCGAAGCCGTAATTACTTCGACGTCCATCGCAAGTGGTTTGCCAAGCAGCAATGAGCCATACGCCATTGTGTGAACACCCAAGTGATCGTGGCCTACAATTGTGCATTGCAAAGCGTGGTCCATCACAGGCCATTGTGTACTGGGGGCTTTAGGAATACTTTCTGGGCCAGTGTAAAAAGATTTACGTGCTGAATTTATCTTTGAATGACCATTGATAAGTCGCACGTTAGCATTTAATCGCAGTGTGTTGTATTTTTTGCGCTGGATGTTAAATTGCAGACGTTAAAAAACTTAAAATTACCTCACAGGTAGTCTTTATACAGGTAGGTATAATCACCAAAGGCAATCTTAGATTATTTTTTGAGAAGTCTATTTTTAACAATTCGTCCAAAGTTGTTGGACAAATTTGAAATTAATTTAAAAAATGTAGCCGGATGTTGTCATCTCTTATAGTTTCAAAAATGCATCACTGTTGATTTAGAGGTACACGAAGCATATACTCAAAATGGCTTTTGCTTTGTTAATTGACTTCTAGAAGTGCAGCTATTGTTAGTAATTTAGTAAATACCATTTTCTCGTCTTACGAGACTAAGAACCGAGACAAATTACGAACAAGCACATCTAAAGCGTTACTGAAGCGCCGATAGGCTTCAGTCTGTCATCTGACAGTCTGGTATCTAACCTTGAGATATTTTTTTCTTAAAAGCTGGATTCTGGTGAAACGTAAAATCCTTGGAGTCAGATGGGATTCTCAACTTTATACGCCTTATTTGTTCGAAACGATCACCTCAAGTTTCTAAGAATCATCAACACCTGAATAAATATTTTTACGTATGGGTTCTGTTAGAAGAATTGTACACACTGTGAATAGGATCCAATTAATAATGATTTAGGTTTTTAAAATTTTTTTTATTTAAAATGATCATTCTGTGAATATTAAAACAACATAACACTAATTGCATGTTAAAATGCAACAAAGCAAACCTTATTACATACTTTAACAAGTTAAGAACCTTAATTTTTAATTAAAAAGAAACGAGACAATTTCTTAGAATTGAAACATTTAAAGCTTAATTAGTAAAAGTAAAAAATTAAACCTTAACAATAAAATCTTACATCTCAAGGATTTTCAAATATTGTACTTTATACTTACAATTATAGAATAGAAAATTGAACAAGAATTTTAATATTGAGTTTGTTACAATGCGCTATGTGCTTGTGAATAAGTAGTCCTATTTATCAATGAAACAAAAAAATATGTACCTAACCAACACCATTACTAAAATAATATTAAAAACAAACAAGATTGCAAGAAGTGTGCTATTAAAAAGTTATTTGAATTATATTACATTAAATTAACATTCAACAGCAAAATTATGGTTAAAAATATGTTAAAATTCTTATTAAATCTCTTAACTAAAAGCAGATTCAAACTAGAACAGTCTTGAAGAAGAAGTGTTTAGAAAAAAAATACTACTTTTTCTTTTGTTTTTCCATCAAGTTATTATATTTATGAACTTTCCCGCCATATCTGCATACAAAGGCTGGTACGTTGAACTTTCGTTTGCATCCTTCATAGTTCATGAAACGGATTTTTCCAAACACCGTTCGCTCCGCCCAGCCCTGGTCGTGAACGCCGCAGATAGACCACATACAACCTGAACAAATAATATACATATATATATATATATATATATATATATATACATAATTATACAGGGTGACTGGTGAATTACTATCAATATTTAAGGAGCATACTCGGTACATGATTCTCATTCGAATTATGTAAAAAAAATAGGTACTTAAGTTTTGACAAAATTTCCGTATAAATAAATAAACCGTGGACACGTTCCAAGTGTGGACGCGTGCGGCGGCGTGCTGATACAAAACCACGCCCCCGCAGCGTGTGTGTATATACCTAATCTGTAGGGTGTTCACACGATGCGTAATTAATTACATAACTTGCGGTTAACTTTACTCAGAAGTTTATTAATATTTATGTTATATTAATTTTTATTTTGTCATATATGATCGTCAAATATCACGTCCTCAAGTATCGATAGTAATTCACCAGTCATCCTGTATATCTTATATATAAAATTCTCGAGTCAAAATGTTCGTTCCTGTATTCCTCCGAAAATTCCTGACCGATTGTCATGAAATTTTGAATATTGAGCAGGTCTGAGAATCGGCTAACATCTATTTTTCATATCCCTAAGAGATAAGGGTTGTTCAACGTTAAATTTTTTTTATTAATTTTCGGAGGAATTTTTTTCTTTTCATTTTATTATAATGTGGCATTAAAAAATACATACAACTCTAATTTTTTCCTTTTTTATCACCAAACCATATTTTTATATATGGCAAAACAATGTTTGCCGGGTCAGCTAGTATATACTAGAAGATCCGGCGAACTTCGTATCGCCCTATAATCAAGAACTATCTGTTACATTTTTTATTTATATTTTTGGAGTTCCTATTAAAGTCATAAATCTCCGTGTTTTGAAGTGCGACAGAATTTTTGTCATATTATATTAGTTAGTTGTCAAATAGTGTTGAGTAGAACACAACTTCGAACAGAGTTTGTAAGAGTTGCCTCTTTTTTGTCCTGAGCCAGTACAAAGTCCCACCTCAAATGAGGCGAGGCGAACTGAACCATATGAAGTTAGTATAGTACGAAATATGCACGCCTACTGGCGCATCAAATGTCAGACGCGACGTGCTTTTGTCATGTCGTTTGTTTGTTTAGTACAAATATTTTAAATACAAGTATAAAAAATTAATTTTATGTGTTTGTAGTCTCTTAGGTACCAAATGATTACGAATATGAAATTTCTAACCTAATATACCTATTAAAACAAAACGCGAAAGTTTGTGAGGATGGATGGATGTATGTTTGTTACTCTTTCACGCAAAAACTACTAAATGGATTTTAATCAAAATTTACAAGAATACAACTTAAACTTTCATCAGAATAACAAATAGGCTATAATTTATAGGTGTTAATTATCCCAAATGTAATGATAAGCATCAAGTTATATAAAAAAAATCTTTGATTTTGTACGACTTAACGGCGCTGTGCGATATGTTTATTCAATGTTATTGAAAAAAACCCGCGGCGCCGTCACGGGGCGGGCCGCTAGTTTGTAAATAAAAACGTAAACAAACTATTATAAAATGAAAATATAATAAAGAAAAACAAATAACAAATTACTATTTAAAAATAAAATTTGGGCAACTTTTTTCCCACTAAGCCTGTTCCTTCGTTCTGTGAGTCTGACCTGCTTTACTAAATGTACGCTCGGAAGGCACAGAAGTGGGGACAATGCAAAGCCGTTTTAAAAATTCTTTATAAAGCCTAGGGTAGGCCTCTTTTTTACTGAACCACCACTTGGCAGGATCTTGGTGCTTTGGCAGCAGAGGTTCCTCTAGATATTTATCCACTTCTATAATTCCACCTGCAGACGGATTGATATCCTTGATTATTCCACCCATTTGAGCATCAAATTCATCCCATATGCTGTTTTTACGTTTAAGGGGCGGCGATGGAGTTGGCTGCTCTATGGTATATGTAGTTGTAATCCCATAAGTATATTCGTTTCCAAACCCATACTTTTTAAATCTTGGATCTATTAATGTACTTTCAGCAAAGACATTATTTTCCTCGATCCCAGTAAACCTTGTGTTAATTTCGCCTAAAAGCACTTGAGTCCTTCTTAACACACAGTCGGGATGTTGCGAAGATAAAATTTTTTGACACCTTTTTTAAGGGCGTTTGATATAATTATAACCTGAAAATATTAAAATAACGATGTTAATAACAACTCAAGAAAAACATGTTTTTAAACATCCATATAATATATATTTTATTTGTGATATCATTTTACCTCTGATATAGTCATATTCTTCTCAGAACTCATCTCTTCAGTTACATCTTTGAAAAAAGAAACAATTTGTACAGCCGACTCCAAAACTTCAATGTCTTCACCATTAATATTTATAGTTTCTGGATAATCTATTGCAATTGAGTACATGACACAATTTTCAACCTTCAATATCCTTTCAAACATATCGCACGTGGAGTTCCAGCGTGTGGAAACGTCTTGTTTGAGTTTCAACAAAGGTTCATCTAGTTTTTTTTTGCATATTTTTTTAACCTTTCAGATGCAAGTGGGCTTCTACGAAATACCTCAACTATGTTCTTAATTTTAATGGTAAGTCTTTAATTTCTTTCAACGCAGATTGGACTATAAGATTTAAAGTATGAGCGAAACAGGGTTTTTGTTTCCAATTATTTAATTTTATGGCAGCTTTGATATTAAAAGCGTTACCACTCGTTGCTGCTACAATTTTGTTGGTAATTTCCCACATATCTGTGATTCTTTTCAGTTCTTCTGCTAGGTTTTGTGACGTATGTCTATCTGGAAACTCAAATACATATATGTCTTAAGCAAAGGCATCTACTCAAAAAAAATATAGGTATTTAGCCACAAAAAATACAACACAAGCAGAAATTATCTTAACAATAATAATTATTAGTTATTTATAGTCAATTATGAATCATAATTACATAGACTTACCTGAAAAATTAATATTTAATACTCTTAATCTTTTTTTTGCTTAAGATTATTAATCTATCCCCTTAAAATCAGAAATATCAAAAAAATACTAATTACTAATACTAAGCACTGACTCCCTAAACAACGTTAGATCATTTCTATTTAAATTTTTAAATACGCGCCTCCTGGTTGGCGCCTCGCCTCGCATAAAAGACAATATATTTCTCTGTCGCTTATAATGTCAGACGCGACGACCGTGACATGCTTGTCGTTTCTCTGCCTTGCTCGACCGCGACAAAAAAATGGAAGTACCTAGTACAATTTTAAATTTCGAGGCACTCTTACGTTTTCAGCGCCTCGTGTATGTCCTACTCAACAGTCAACACTATTGTCAAATCTAATGTCAAAAAAAAAAACGTTTGTATCAATAACTACTAATAAATTAAAAATTAATTAAAAGAACACTGTCCATTGGACAAAATTGTAATTCTAAACAATTCCCAGATCCCCTTGAGGCTTGAACACACACAAAAAATTTCATCAAAATCGGTCCAGTCGTTTAGAGAAGTTCAGTGACATACACACTCCCAGAAGAATATATATATATAAAGATATGTCTCTTATGGTATCTAATAAGTAAGTTATACACACCAACATATCCACTAGGGTCCCTGCCATCAACACTATAATGATCATTCAAATAAATTGCATATTTCAATGCATCCTCAGGACTTGAGGTCCACTCTAAGATCTTCTTACACCAGTACATTCTTAGAAACCCATGCATCTTCCCCTCTTTAACCAGTTGTATCTGAGCAGAGTTCCACAGATCATCGTGGGTTTCAGCCTTGCAGAACTGTTCAAGGGTATATATGTGTGTTCTTTTGTCATTTCTGAAATAAAACATGTGTGAAGTTAATTTGTGAAAGTTTTTATGGCATGATATTCAATAAGTTACATTTTTTTTAAATATACCAGAGATTAAGAAAATAGAGTAATGTTTTGGCCCTATCAACCAAAGTATAATTTTTATTTCTTTCAAACAAATGAGCTGCCAATAGTTAAAAATTTCATTAAGAATGGTACAATTGTCAGAGAGAAAGAAAAATGAGTTTTAAATTTTAATGAAACTACAACCAGTCCCCCGTTATACAAAATATGTACATAAATAAAATTTATAAGTGGTAAAGCCTAGCTGTGGTCAGTTACTACAGTTTGAACATGGGCTGGCTCAACGGGGGAGAGTACCACCCTCTCATAGAAGATCAGCGTGAAGTAGCCTTTAGTAGCTGCGTTTTGTCCGATGAGTGAGAGAGCCGGTTGCCCTTTCCTTATTTCCCACCCTTTTCTACCATTTCCTTATTCCCACCCCTCCCTATTCCTAAATGACGGGCCAATTTATAAGTTAAAACTTGAAACCAAGAATTTCAAACTAGATTCTACCAAATTATAAAAGTTATCAACATCTATATCTGATGAAAACAGTATGAAACAGCTATAAAGTAAATACAATACCTGTGATCATCTAAAGTCTTCTGTGCCCATTGGCTCGCACCTTTAATGCTATCATAATGTTCACAGTAAAAACAAAAATTGTCAGCCAATTCTCTTCGCACTATCGCCTCTTCTAAATAAGAATTCACACTCTCTGTATACTTTCCTTTATACTCCTTCACACATAAGGCTACTCGTTGTGCTGATATTTGGCCTATAATAGAAAAAATGGGAAATTAAATGGCAGTTTGTAAATTTCTATGCATTTAAATTGATATAATTGGTATCAATAATTACCAAAATGAAACCAGGGTGATAAATTGCTAAGAGCATCCTGAGTGGGATCATTCCTTTTAGTTGCAAAGACTTTGAGACGTTTATCAAGAAAACTCTTCAATGTTTTAACAGCATTATCATAGCCCGGACCTGCCCATTCTATCGGACCAACAGATTTGTCCGCCTCTCTTGTCTCGATAGCCTTATCCCAATCTATTGGCTGGAAACACAAAAAAGTCAATATATACTATATCTAACATGTTATAATAATTTATCACTTGTTACCAAAAGATTGATAAAAAAATAATTTTAAGTAAACATAAAGTTAAATAATAATAAGTATAAGTATAAAGTAAAGTAATAATATGTATAGGAAATAGGAAAAGATAATGATTCAAAACATATATTACCTCCGGTTTAAAACTGCTTGAATGTGGATGTTTAATAACTGGAGGAAACTCCGTCAGATATTCATCAAGTTTTGAGTTGATCTTATTTCTAATGGTTCTAGCTGAGTACTCCTGTTTGTTGGATGCTACCCAACACGGCACTACATTATGGGCATCAACCTAAAAAGACATGGATAAGTATAAATTATTTTTTTTCAGAAACTTGTGATATTTTAAACATATTTACATTAACAAAAAACAGTTCATTTAGTATAATTTTAACTTGTATCTTACTTGAATTAATGGAACATCCTTTTTTAATTTCTTCTTTGCCCCCTCGACCCATCCTAATGGCACTCTTAGAGGATTGAAATCACAGACCACAGCCCCTATCTTGTGGTCGATAACCCATTGAGGTAAAACTTCAGCCCCACTGCCTTCCAGTAAGTGAAATGAAATGTTTAGTTTCTCACAATCAGCAGCAACTTTTTCAAGACCTACAATATAATAGTATCGTTTCCTATTATGTTATATTTAATATATTAAAATTATATAGTAATAAATATTTACAGAAAATTGCACAATATTTCTTAACTAACATTCGTCATATAATGAATTCAAACCTTTGATAAGAAAGTGAAATTGCCTAACGGATGCATCCAAATATTTTGCTATTAAACAGAAACATACATGGAGCGGTACTTTATTTTTTAACGCCAGTTTCTGTGCGAATAGAAAAGCCCAATTGTCTTGAACTCTGCTGTCTCTTGACATCCAATATACAATTCCTTCGCAATCATCAGATACCATCTGCTCTTGTGATATTATTCTTATTCTAGACTTATTAAAGTTAAAATCTAAAATGGACTTGGCAGTTTCTTCTCGTTTTTTATGTATTTGTTTCATGAAGTCATCTACATTGATTGTACTTGATTCGTTTTTTATTGGTAGTGACAATTTTGGTTTTTTAGCCGACGAAGCCATTTTCGTAGTAAAATGAGTTAAAAACCTTATTTTCATTTATTTTTCATTTAACATTATTGGAAAAAGAGACTTAAATTAAACGACGTTAAATATATCACCGTTCCCGCTACCAGGAGGTTTCAATTTGACAAATGACAGAACATTATAAAAATGAAGTTGTCATTTCATACTTTTTAACAATTAAGTTGGAGTTAATAAGAATTTTTTCTTGAAAGCTTAACAATTTGTAAAATATTTTTTAACTAACAAAATCACTAAATAATACTCTTATAAAGCTACAAAATGAAAGCAGATTAAAAAAATATTAATTTAATAGCAATTAAATAAAGGTAGAACTAATATCAGGTGAAGGAAAATATTTTAACTTCAAGAAGTCGCTGCAAGGGTGACAATGGGCTCTTTCAATATTCATTTTAATGCACTCGTATGAGCAGAACGAAATAAGCTTACACCAAGAACATATGATTTTATCTTGTTCAAATGGTAGAGCACATTCAAAACATATATTGAATTTTTTGCCCTGAAAAATAACAATTATTTAATAAGTAAAAAATACGTATTTGCTATAATTTAGCTTAAAAAATATGAACACTGAAATCTTTTTTGCCCTCCTCATTATTTAATTTGCACAATAAAATTAGTAATGAAAAAGTAAAATAGCTTTTTAACGGTTTAATTTTGCATGTAACTTTGAAAAAAGTATATATATAAAATAATCAGAAATTTATATGTTGTTACTTACATCTTTCATCAATTCTGGTTTCACACAGGAATATTCCCATGGTTTAATGTCTGATGATTTTATATTTCTTCTGTACTGTCGCAACATTCGCGTCACATCAGTTTCTATAACGCTTTTAAGAGAAGCCGTTAATGGTGTGACGGATAACTTAATATTTTTTAAAGGCTCAAAACTTCTCCACGACACGTAAATGGAAATACAAAGTAGATGTCTCAGATTTCGCTCATCATTGTAGGCCTTCTTTTTAGTTTTAGATAATATACTCCATATTTCCAATGATCGTTGAGGTGTAAGCCAAAGTCCATGACCTCTTGTGTCTTTAAATTCTTTAAAAATCATATTCCACTGTCTATGTTTGTATCTGTGATGAGGGAATAAGATATTATTAGTTTCGATAAATTTCTTTAAATTGCTCTTTAAAGGAAATAAAAAAGGATTAACATAAAAGTTATGTACCCGATAGAGGCGATGGTATATTTTTTTGTTTCCTGATAATAATATTTTCTTATGTTTTTAAGTCTTACCTGTCGATTACTTTAATCATCTCTTTGACAAGTCTGGACTGCAGCCATCTTATGTAAATAAGTCTCGCACAGTCTGTTACTTGTTCGATTGCTTGTCTGTAATCTTCAATATCGTCTACCGCCATTTTTGCAATGGATTTAGTACTTAATTTATCATCCTTTTTTGGTTTGTCAGCTTTCTTCGCTTTGGAATCTTGTTTGCCAACTTTGAAATAACATATTTTGTCTTTATTAACGTCTAATAATTATAATACTTTTTTTGGCCATTGGTAAGGCCTGATCCAATAGTGAAATTAATAAAAATTGTGTATACCCATGTGTTTTAAAAAGTGATTGAATTTTAAATTAAGACAAGTCTACTGCCTAAATCGTACCTGTTTAAAATTCCTTATTCATACCAGTACGATTTAGGTCTAAAGGAAAATTTTTAAAAGATTCCTTATAGCAGCCTGTTTCAATTTTTAAAAAGATAAAGAACAAATTAATAATAAAACGATAAGAAGCGGAAATATAAATGAAGGAAGCAAGTATAAAAGAATTAAAACTGTGGTTAAAAATTAAAAGATCATGCTCGGTGGCCATAACTACAGTGTAAGGTAGATTTTGATAAAAATATGGCCCTGAATATCAAATATAAAAACTAGATTCGCATTACGCATGCGTTCAGGCGTTTATAATCATAAAAAATATTTGTGATATCTATGATTAATGATTTTTTAAGTACATTTATTTCTCTTAAGAATATTTTAGTTCTTATTTCGTATTATTTCAACAATGAGGCAAAATTTTGTAATACATAAATAAACAATTGTTGATCTCAGACCAAATTTTTGTTAATATTTAGTTGTCCAAATGATTTTTGATTACTGGGCATATTCTCTGATGATTTAAGGTGACTTACTCTAATACTTACCATTTGGTAAATATTTGTTCCATCATTGACATACCTGTAGGAGATACTTTTCCTGGAGCATTTTCCATTTCGAAAAGAGTTTTCTTTGCGAAAGCGAATATATTGCTGTAAATTTGTTCACCATTTTGACATTCGATAAGCGGATCAGCTCCGTAGGATAAAAGATTTGTGAACTGGAAAAGGTCATATACACGTCACATGATCGAATTGGTTTTTTGAAATATAACAATACATTTAGTTTAAAAGTTAAATGAAGTAGTCACCGTTTGCAATCGACTTCCACTTGGAGCGTTTCTAAAGAATGGATTGCTAAACATTTTGACAAGGATGCTTTGGTTAGAGCTATTAATTTTCGCATTAAGATTCGTTTTAGGATTCTTTATAAATACATCGAGGAGATCGAAGTTATGGTTCATCGCTACATCTATTGCGGAACTGCCTTTAAACTGGGCTATTGGATCACAGTTATATTGTAGTAATAACTCCACAAGCTGACGACGTATCTAACAAAAATAGTTTCTTTGAGCATTATTAAGAATAAACTTTAAATGCTATTAAAGATTGAAATAAAGCCATTATATTTTTCGGAATTTACTACGCTTTTATAATTATTTTTAGCGACGCATAGTTAATCCGCAAAATATTAGTTTTATGTCAAAGAACACTCGTGAAAATCTTAGATCTCATTACTGATAAAAAATATTTGAAAATTTAAGTCAAAACGTCTAGGTTCAATCACATATAGTTTTGTGTGTAAAATATTAATGTTTGAAATAACATGTTTCGGTTGTATTTGAAGTATATATGCCTAATAATTATTATATTATTACTAACGTCTTCTTCTCCTACGTTCTCAACTTTTCTGGTAAGCACAGCATGAAATAGAGTAGGCCCAGGAGTAAAGATATCTGGGCACATCTGAATCCTTGTCTTCTTGCTGATATTTTAATACATGACTTGTGTCTGCTCCACATTCCAACAACGTTGCTACTATTTCCAAATTTTCAGCGTTATATGGTTTAGATATAGCGATATCTAATGGTGTATAGTGGTAAACCTTAAAAAAGAATTCAAAAATCTATATTATTTTCAATAAAATTTAGTATATATTATTATTTAAATCTTCCATTACCCGCGGATACATTTCATTGATGTCAGCGCCGGAGTTAATTAAACTTCGTATTAAGTCTGAACTGTTAGACATGACAGCTATGAATAACGCTGGTTGTGGACACTGAACTAACTTTGGATCAGCACCGTCCTCGAGTAGCTGAGTAATGGTTTGCATAATCCGGGATAGTCTACAACAAATGGTAAAGATATTCAGTAAATTAATTCAAAGTAAATATTTCATGATTAAATGAAACTAATACGCGTTGTCATCCGAAAAATATAAGTTTCATTTTAATGAATACTCGCGAAAGACTTAGATCTCTTTATACTGACTTATCGTTTTTAAGTTTTTGTTCGCTGTCTATTGATTGTATTTCATTATTCTGCCACATCAAATCCTTGCTAATTTTCATAGTATCTTTAATTACTTTTGATATAACTTTCTTTGGATTTTTTTCTACTGGTTTTTTTAATTCTTCATCGAATGCTTCAATTTCCTTGACCATGTCGTTTATTTCAAAAATATATTGACTGTTGTTAGTACCAAATGGCAATGTGAAGTCATCTGTTATTTTAATACAATACTCTCGATTAAGATTGTTATATAATATTTTTTCATCTGTAAACGTTTCCTCGGGTTCATATTCGGGTTCGGAAATTTTCGGTAATCCAGCGTCAGTTTGCTTTCTTTTCGAAGTTGGTTGATCTTTTATTGACATGAGAGATTTAACTTTCTTTGAGCTCAAGTTCCTTGTGATCTTACTGGGACTCTTAGTTAGTAAACCACCGGGACTTTGACATGTCAATTCACGCACGATATTCCACTCAACAATATTGGGTTCTATTGCTGCTGTTGTAAAATTTGAAGAATGAATATGTAAAATTAAATTATTTATTATAGTATTAAAAATCTTGTGGAATAGAAATAGAATAACATTACGAGGTGCAATCGTCGTAGAAGGTAACAAAGCTTGAACCATCGCGTTGTATGGAATTTCTCTCTGGGTACAGGTATATCTCATTAAAAGAACTCCTAGTGGTGTGCAACAACAATCATTATAATAATTTATGTTAGCACCAGCTTCCACGAGAAAATGAATTACTTCAATTTGATCTCCGACCTAAAATGAACAAAGAATTAAATTCTCTTTAAACCTAATGCAAATCCAAAAATACTGTAATATTATTAATTGGCTTACAGCAGCATACATGATAGCAGTATTTCCTTGAATGTCTGAAACATCGGGAAGAACATTTTCTGTGTTAATGAGTTCTGCTACTTCTGTTATATACCCTAAATAACTAGCCATAAGTAACGACCTGAAATTATTTAAAAAAAATATTATATAGTAATGCAGTAATGTGGTTTTCTTACTATGAAATAATAGACAGATACATAGGCATATTTAGAATACCTGCAGTTAAGTTCATGATTACCAGTTGGTTTAAAATTGTTTCTTGGCCCAGATAAGATAGACTTTAGATTTATTCTTGTTATATTTCTTTGTCTTTCATGCTTATAGCAATGTTTCATTATATTTATCATAACTCTACTATTATTCCAAGCGTAAAATGTAAAATTGTCTTGCGGAGTATCTTCATTCGAGTTTTGATCTATCTGTTTATTATAAATTTCAGCTCGTATATTTATACATATTCATATAAAATAAATAGTACAACTAGGCATAGTAAATGATATAAATGGTTATGGATTTATTACGATTATTTTACTTTCAGTTGTTCTTCTCTTTCTGGTACTTTTTCGACTTCTTGTAATGCATATATTTTCCCTTTATAATAATCTCTATCAAAGACATCTATTTGGCAAAGTTTGCTACCAAGATCTGTGCAATGTTTTGGATACAATTTCATCCATTTCTCCATAGCAACACGTGGATCTGCACCTTTTTGCTTAAGCAATTCTAAAGCATTGTTAACTTCACCCACCTGGAAAAAACATAGTATTATTTTGAACCACGAGAAGCCATAGTATTATTTTAAAATATGAGAGACCATAGTCTTTTTTAATATGATACTAACAGTTTCAATTTCGGTAGTGACTATAGTTCTGAATTGTTCAACAGTTATTTGTCCGTTAGGGTTTGTAAGGAAGTCAGGAGTAACGTTTGGTGCCTCTGGTCGCCAAGCAAGTCTTATCAGTTTATTTCCTCGCCATAACCCAACGTTTTCGGTAACATTAGAATGGGTTTCCACGCCGGGACCAAATCGAACGTTATTGGAGAATAGGCCCTAAGAATTTTATATCTGTGATATATTAAAATACAGAATTAAGCTAATATTTAGTAGAAATAATATTACACAAAGTTAAAAAAATATTTACACTAAACGTCTTTCCATCAGGGTATGACATAGTACCGTAGCCATGCATGCTGTTACAATAGAAATGTCCCTCGTAAGTAACGAACGTGTTCTCAGGTCCAAGAAAGCGCCAGTGGTAGTCCCCAATACCGTGCATAGTATTGCGAATAAACCTTCCTGCATACGATTCTAAGGACTAAAATATACTTTAATGAGGCAAGGGATGGAAATATTTACGTTAAATATTTATTCTATAAATACCTTAGCTCCTGTCCAGGTATTTTCTCCGTCCCCATTTCGTCTGCTCTCCTCATCTCTATCTCCTATATAGTACTGTTGATATTTCCAAGTTTTTTCTTTGACTGTAGCAATAGGCTCACAAATATTAATCATTTTATCTTCATTTTTTTCAATCCTTTCTTCATTCATTATATAAACAATTAAAACGTGAAAGTATAAATAAATTCATTCAATAAAAAAAACTGTTTGTAATAACTATAGTTTAGTTTGTCATTTTTACAATGTTATTCATTTACTGACAGTAAATGAAACCAAAAAGGTTAAGGTTTGATATGAATAGACCTAAATTAAAATAAAATATGAGAAAAAAAAGTTAGAATGTTGTTCGTAAATAAATAAAACAATGATGTTATTGGTTTTCAATTATTCTTTATATTAAACTGATATAAAAATATGAAAAGATAAACATTTAATTACCATTATTCCTAATATCTATATTTTATCACAATGTCGATAACCGTTCTAATTACAATTTTACAAATATTTTTTTACAACAATCTTTAACAAAAATTGCATCTCAAACAGCTTATCTTCGTACTCTCGAAGTAGGTGTATTCCTAAAATAAAATAAATATCATTTAATCATGAAATCATTATTTTGCGACAAAATACTTTGAGTACTTATTCAATCTTATAAAAGAGAATTTAATGTAAGTACTTACCAAAAGAAATCCAGCAGCTAATAGCAAGGCTTTATGTTTCGGTTGAACAGCTAAGTCTGGGAACGAAATGTTCGTGGTAAAACTGCCGACATCCGTGTTCCAGCCATGAGAAATCCTGCCAACTTCGCGTAGCGAGTCACCTGTCAAAATCTGAAATTATAACATACAATTTTAAAAGCTTATCCAATGATATATACAGTTTCTCTTTTCTTGATTGTGAACATTATAACATACTTTAAATTCAGAAATCATTAGCGTACTTCTTCGAAAAGCAGCCGGTCCTTCTATCAGAAATAATACATTGTCTGCCTGATCACGGACCAGGTAAAATGGTACCAATAGCGTCCACTGCTGCTGTATTCGACCTATGTAGTCGCCTGGTGGAGTGACTACTTTTAATTCCTGTAATAGAAACTCTTGTTTTTTTTTATGTGTTATACTTATTTTGGATTAGCTTTAATCTAGTAAGACATTTCTTCCACATAGCCGTTGAAAGAAATATGGAATTTATAAGAATTTTAATAATGAAAATAAATATCAACATACATTATTATTTTCTTTAAAATAAACAAAAAAATCCAATTTTTTATGATTATCTAAATATGAAACAAAATGGAAGCGTAATGAATAAGTTAACAAGTACAGAAAGATTTAAAAAGCTATGAGAAATTACGAGTTGCTTAGATAAAACTACAAAATTAAGGAAGAGCTCTAAGTGAAGTGTGTGAGGTTTTATCACCTGTAGCCGGCAAGGAAAGCAGCAGGAGGCAGCGGCGAGCCTTCTCGACAACACGAGTGCCTCCTGCCTGGTGTTATCTTGGAGTCTCATCACAAATCCCCGGCCCATACCACACAAACATCTCTGGGTTTCATTTGAAGACTCGCTGGCTATGTATAACGCTTCGCCTTGTGGGACTTTAACGATGTATCGGTTTTCAGAATCGATTCGTGCAGTCACTGTAAGGAATATTTATATCCTTATAAAAGGTTCTAAAGTGGCTTATAAATTAATTATCAATTTTGAAATATAAATGTATAAAATATATCTTGTGTATGAGTCATATATTTCGGGTGGTTAGTAAAATAAGTAAACCACAGTTAAAAAGCAAAAACAAGCAAAAAGAGTCATTTATGAAAATAATTCAAGGGCATTTGTTAGAAACTATATTATTAATCTGATTTTTTTTGTTACAATATGCCATATTTGAAGAATATCATATATTTTTATTTCAGTAGCATATACTCACTGTCATCAAGTTCAACAGTTTGCTGTATGAGCAGACTGGTAGCTCCAATGAGGAAGTCCAAGCCATGCAAAGGAATAAATTGACCTCGAGCTTGCGTGGACCTCCAGTCTGTAGTAGATACAGGCAGCTCAGCTCTACCGGTAACTAAAACGACGTAAATATATATCTAAAGGTTTCTTTTGTGTTTATATTTCGTGCCTTTAATTTGGCATACGTCTTAAAAATTATGACTTATGAGATGATTTCTAGCTTATATTGTTTATTTTTCAGGAATACCAGAATATCTGGAAATATGAGTATTAGAGAATACTATTTAAAATGAATATTTTTTTTATTTTACATCATAAATTTTGCGAAAACACGGTTGATACAAACATAGATCTTTTATATATTATGACAAAACTTGTTACTTCTGGCAAAATATATTTATATTATGTAAAAAAAACTTACCTTGGGAATGTGGTTGCACGCTGATTACTAAATCTGGTCGCAATTTTCTTCCGTCATCTTTAAAAACAATGAAGTCTTTTTTAGTTTTTGTCTTTTTTGAGTTTGAAAATACATATATCATAAGAAGTTAATTTCTCTATTATTATAAAACTCTGGCATGTCTAGATATTATTACCCTATTATGTAGATATGAATTTATACATACTTTTGGTTTTCCTCACAAATAAAATTGATTACTTTAATATATATGAAAACAATAGTCGTTGAAATGTTATGAAGTGCATATAATACAATTGCCATTTCAAAGTACTTAAAGAAGAAAAGTTATCAACTTTCGAACAATCAAGAAAGTTCTGCACTTGTAAAAAGTAGATATTTTAAATATTATTAGTATTCTCATTAATTATGAAAATTAAGAGATACAAATGAATATACATATGTAGGGCCGTATCAATATGATAAGTGATAATTGTCGCTTGTAAATATAAATTAACACTTGAAAAATAAACACTAAATTGAGCAAATCACAAATTACTGAGTAATTATTTGTAAATAATAAGCATTTGTACCTCGTGTTGTCGCAGGATTGTCAACGCCCTGACTGTAACTAGCCATTTAAAAAGTGTCACAGAACTGCTAGAGTAATGTTATTTGTTGAAGGCACTTCATACACTGATATCAACACAATCATTTGCTTCGCTTATCACGAGATAAATCTATATCATTATGACAAGCGCGGGTATGCGCCAGGTATTAGTTTGAACATTGTAGAATCACTATACTCTAAGTTATAGGTACAAATAAAACAAATGATTTCGAAAAAACCATTCATATTAATGTGTTATCATGAACTTGAACATTTTACTAATATTGTTAACATTCAAGTATGACTTTCGTTAAAAGTACAATACAATATTTTTATCTCATAAGTCATACATAACAGATATAATATGAGTATACAATAATGTCGCCAAATTTACGGAAGACATAGAAAATAGATATTTCATACGAATTTTAAATAATAAAAAGGTTTTTCATCCCATTTTATACTTCTCTTAAATTTTTGTTTAGGACATGCATGTTTCGGAATATCTTCAAAACTTGTAGATTTCCCACTAAATGTCAAATTGCATTGACGAAGCATAAAGTTTTATTGTCCTAGTAAAGTCTAAAGTAGTGCACTAGTGCTAATTGTGCTTAATCAAGATACTTATAGAAGTCATCGTAGTAGCAAATGCAACTGTAAAAAATCTCATTTTACTACAGTTGTTATACAGAATGCACTACGGTACAACGTTTCAAGAAAACTCCTAGAAGCATTTCATCATTACAACGATATTTATTTTCAAATAAATGTTACCAAAAATAATGTTCCCATATATTATGTTTGCATATATATAATTTGAAAAAGAAGATAGTGTTACATAAATTATATATTATATAATCATTTAAAATGTTTTGTATAATTTCACGTAATATTTATTATAATCTTGTACATACGATTTAAAATTTTAATATTAATACATATTGTTACATAATTTATTATTGTTAACACACTAAATGTCGATACTACAGCAGATATTGTATATGTAAATATTTAACAACGATAGAGATACTTTCCCAAAAACATCCGAAAAATTTCATACCAATACGATACCTACACCAGATCCAACAGTTATTAACACATCGATTAGTAATGAGAAGCGTAATCTTAGCGAAAACCACATTTATTAAAAACGATCAACGATAAAGCGATCAAATCTATTAATTATAAATAAGATTCATTAATAGCAAATTATAAAATATAACAACAATCGACTACATGTATATGTATCATCAGTAAGCATCTAGGCTGGTTAAATGCTTACTGATCGAATTAAAACGCTTTAAACAATCAATGGTTATAATTGTTAGACTTAATATTTAGTGACATTTTTTTATAATGATTATAATCGTAAAATAGGTAGCCATTTACAGGCGACTATAAAAACTCATTTATATTGAGTTCTTATGCAAGTTCGGACACAAATAACGTTTAATTTCGAAAACGCCGGTTCATTGTTTTATTTATCGTTGAAGAGCCCTCTGCCATCCAATGTTCAGTTTCAATGTAGCCGGTAGACACGGATTCGCTTCACATTCTCCATCCAATTCGTCTGCTAGGTTGTCGTGGAGCTCTCTCAGCGCCATAAGAGCGGATCGGGCAGCTTGTTGACAGCCTGTATCACCCTCACAGGTAGAGTCAGCTTCGGAGAGGAAAACTAAGTCGCAAGTGGTCGGTGGAGCCTCGCCCTGAAAACACAAGATAACTTAAAGACCTAGTTTCAAGTGATTGTCATTGTACACTTAAAATTGTACTCACACAAAGATAACAGATTTGATGTAAGCTACACAATGGCAGGAAAAGTTGACCACGATCACCAGCTAACAGATCCACGCCTCGGCATCTCTGGACAATCTTTGACAACACGGGGCAATCACCAGTAGAACTCACTGAAATAATAAATCAAATATTATGTTTCATTTTACTTATATAAAAGATTATTGCTCGTAAAAATTATTTGCTATACTGACCGGTAGACATGATAGGAGTGCGGTGTCTGCCGCTGCCGCCCATATATCCTTCTGAAAGTTGCTCTTCAATCCTGCCGTTTAAGTAGTGTCCAGCTCCTTGCTCATCTTCAAAGTCATCGTTCTTGTCATTATTCTTAGTCATGTCAGGTATTTCATTACTCATCATCACTTTTTCTTTCTTAACAGCCACCTTCTTTTCCTTCATCTCTGAGTCATGGGAGCGGTGTAAACCGGACGCTTTTTGTATTTGCAAACTTTGTTTAAATTCTTTAAGTGCTTTACGCATCTTCTCCAAGCTGTAAGCGGCTGCTAAACGAGAAAGCAGATTTTTCCTTCATTTCTTGTTCTTCTTTTGAATCTAGCTCTTCGCCGATATTTGAGTAGTTTAAAGCTTCGTCAACGATTAATCCCTCCATGTTCTTTAATTTTTTATCGATATTATCTAATTTTGATTCATCACTAGATTCCGAATTAAGAGATCTTTTTTCTTCTAGCATTGTAAGAGAGCGTGCGTTATTCATCGAATTCATAGGGATATCCTTGTTCTTCTGCGGCATATAATTTCTTTTAGCGTAGTTGTGTGATCGGAAAGAATTTAAGGGATATACTACTTCCTTATTAAATGTGTCAAAATATTGTTTCTTTAGGCGATCTTCGTTAATATTACCATTAAAGGATTTTTTCAATCGTTTATCAATACCAAAGTAATCAGACCAGTCTATAGACTTCTTTTTAAGCTTTATTGGTTTCTCTTCGGTGTTTTCAACGTCGATGTGTTCGTGGTGTGAGTGATCATGTGAGTGGTCATGTGTGTGATCATGTGTATGATCATCATGGCTGTGGTCGTCATGATCATGATGTTCATGACCTACTTCTTTTCCGGAAACTCCAGGTGGGTGTATACGTCCATGGTTCTCGTGACTGATGTCTTCTTCCAAAGAGATATTGCGATAATCGTTTGTATGATTGTGGCTAGTCATTGCGACGATGGGTGGTTTAGTGTCATGTGGATTTTCAGCATGTTCACTGCTCCTTTTAACTGGCGATTTAATAATTTCCTCTTCTGGCTCACTAAATATTTTTGTAAGGTCTTTGATTATTTTTGGATCCGTTCCAGAACTGCTCCTGAATGTATTTGTTTTGTCCCGGTTGCCATGATCTGTTACAAATCTCTTCTTTTGACTATTAAAATTGTAGGGACTGCTACTACGTTTCGACACTGGGAACCGTTTCTCGATAGCATCGTATGTATATTGACTGTCATCAGCTAGGTCGGTTATGCTATCATCATCCAAAGGTTGAAACGCAATAGCGTACTCTTCTCGAATATCATCCTTGTCATCATCAGACACTACGTATGCATTGTAATTTGAATCAGCCGGTTCCAATCCGTCACCGGAATTTTTAATTTTTTGATTTTCCCTGAGGAGAGATTGTTCAAAATCTGTATCCGAGCTGCGTTTCCGTTTAAAAGCAATAGGTCCCCAATTATTCGGATATCGTTTTTTCACAATTTTCTCCTTGTATAATTTAACAACGCCTTGAGCAGCATTGTCATCAAGATCGTGTTGAACCTTATTATTCTTGTATTTCGACCAGAGTTGACCTAGCAGCAGGGCGTACTCGGCATCACTCTCTTCCTTTGGATTTATGATATTATTATTTTCTTCGTTTGTATTCCTATCCATAAAAAGATCACGAAGCTGGTCATTATCTAAATGTTGACTCCTCTCACGGAATGGCGACTCCTGTTTTTTATTGTACCCTTCATAAGCAGGATTCTTTTTGATGATCTTGTATTCATAAGTTTCTGGAGGCCTTTCATTTTCTTCGAGTAGCTTGACGATATATTTCGGAGTTTGTTCATCGCTCTCTTCTAATTCAGATCCATAATCTTAAAATAAAGTTTATCATTATAATATTTGTTGAATATTAATAAATATATATAATTTTTTGAAGAGATATTATTTAGTACCAGGATATGATTGTGGGGGAACATATTCATAAACGGAATCATAGTCAGGGTTGGCGAACTGTGTGTGCGTGCGGCCACGCTGTCGTCGCTGCAAGGCTTCAAGGGCACCGCGAAGTGATGACCCTCGCTCCGCAGTAGAACATGACACCGTGCACACGACCAATATCCACGCCCATATTAAATGCATATTCCGACACCTACAATCAGATGGCGTTTCAGTCTATTAAATTAATACAAGTGTCAAAACATCAAAGCCAAAATATAGTAAAATAATTTAAGTGTCTTAAGACAAAATCAATTTAAAAATATCCATAACAAAGTTCAATGATTTATTATCCTATTAACTATTGAAGGTGAAAAGAATGATATATATATAATATGTATACATATTAAAGTAAAGAAAGGACGGTTTAATTACGATATCGATTACTTTGAATTACAAATTGTAAATACATAATGACGTTTTATTGGAAAATTGTCTATCGCGTATTACAAATATTTCCTACTGTTACAGTACGTCCTAGTAACGGTGTTTACTTTTGTTTAAAAAACTTGTCATCTTAAGAATATTTAAAAATCAAAAAAGATGATGAATGACTTATATAAAGAGTAATTTTTACAAGTCTCGCCATTTGTGCCGTTCTAATTAACGTCTATGATTCTTAGCATCATTTTTATGATTGATTATAATTAATTATAATGTTGAACCATAGTAATTTTGTAAGTGCAACTTTTAAGTATCATTTGTATTTGAAAACTGTAAATACTGGTTTCAACCATTTTGTAGGGCATTACTGGAAGATATGTTGAACATGTAAAATCATGGCTGAAACTTTGAACACAAAATCGATTTTTTTATGCCTAAGTAAATTTGTAGATGATGACAATCAAGAAAAGGCTAGTGAAAGCCATACCTTTTTCTAATACTGATTTGTAAGCTAAAAAGGAGTGGTTCAACTGTTGTTTGCTTTACGTACTTTGTCTCTAATAGTACATAAAAATATCAATCTGGATACAGCTGTTACTGTTACTGTTAAGTCATAATGTAAGAAATTGTTACTCGAAAAAGCTAATTAAGAACGCCGCAATGATCAAAGGATCTATACTATATTTTCTTTTCTTCAAACAATGTTGATTAAATTTATTTTCTTTGAATAGTTATTTTTATCAATTCCATATATAGTCCTTAGCTATTATTCCACCTGTTGGAAGGTGGCAATGAAATCTTAGGTAGTGAATGCACTATCTTAGCATCAGCCCATTCACACCTTTTTTGAAGACATCAAATTTATAACTTCAAAGAAACAAAGACACAAATTGTTCTAATCCCTTGCTGTCCTCATGAGGAAGGAGGAAGAAAAGCGCTTCGTTCGATTGAGAGGAAGATCTGCAACGAAAGTATGTGTGTCTGGTTGTCTGTGCATACTATCCAGAATGTATCTTTTAAAACACTGAGAGGCTAGAATAGATTGGACTTCATCAAGTTGTGGTCACGTACCTATCTTCACGTCTCTCCACTGAGTCCAAGCAAGTGAGGTGATATTTGGTTACGCCTGATCAAATGTAACAGCAGTATTCCACACATGACCCGACCTATCCTTTGTATAAACAAGAAAGCTGTCCCTAACTGAAGTGCCACCACACTTTTGTAAGGACTCCGAGTTCCCTTGCGGCTGCCTTAGCTTTGGTCTCAATGAACCTCCCAAAGTTAAGGCTCAAGGATACCTCAATACCTAATATCTGAAGACAGTCAAAGTATTCCAAGGATACATTTTGAAAAGTGGGCGTCAAAGTGAACGGACTCCTTTTGACAGTGAAAAGATACGATTTCTTTTGGGTGGTTTTAAATTTCGTAAAATTTTCATCGCCCTATTCTGAGACTGTTTGAAGTGTACCATAAACACGCTTTACCATTGCCTCTCTTTCTAACTCTAATTGATCCCGATCAGTGGCGGCTGGTGAGTTATCAAACTGGTGGTTCACTTTACTAAAATATTGACAAAAACAACAATTGACATAAAATATGTTTATTTTTTGTACATTAAATCAATGCGACGACATTTTTCTGTAGCGAAATGTTCTATCACCTTTTTATTAAAATCTGATTCCAGTTTCTGTCCAAATCGATTCTCCGCCAAAAATAATGCAAGGAAAACAAAAGAATGTATTAAGACGCTCACATCCACACAACCATTTCTTTCTATTATACATTTCACTTTTAAAACTTCGTATAAATGCTTTATTTTTCGATTTACACTCTTGTTTTAAATTTAAAAAGGGCCGTGGCGGCCCGGCCAATTTTATGTTCACTTTACTTTGAAAAATTTTGTTATTTTCTTTAATATAATCAATATTTATACTCATTTTCAACTAATAAAAAACACAGTACAGAATAAAAGTTCTATTATAGAAACGAAATAAAAACTAAAACGAATTACGGAAATAATTATAAACAATAACGAATTAACGCGTCACGCATACAGTGAAAGTTGAAACAATACCAATAACGATTAACGAAATGTCAATCATAGCACCCATCCTTTCGTCCGGCCCCTTGCCGGCCGGCTCAATACGTCATACATCGGGTGCTCTCGGTAACCTTCGGCCGCTTCGTGCGGCGCGCGAGAACCGACTCGTTACTCGGTACATTTCTATGAACTATCTTTTGTCTCACGCGCCAGGCGTATTGATGCGTGTCTCATACAAGATGTATTAGCAGTCCTCGTGCACTCGCCGGAGCGCACGATATGAGTTTAGTAAAGCGCTCAAACTTTTTGACCATAATTGGAAATTAAATTTTTTATACCTTTTTGTATGTTTAAAAAATAAATATTAAAATGGTAATTTAAAAATTAAGATGACATAATATTTTGTAATTTTTAAATATTTTGAATTGGTGGTTCAGCGCACGGGCGCACTTAAGGTACAGCCGCCACTGATCCCGATTGGCCCTACTGGGTTTTTACCACTCTGCAACCGTGCATCTGAATAACCAAAAACACCCAGTAAATGCAGAAATCATATTAAAACAAACGTTACTTAGTGAATTTTTCGATTATAATACATACATATAACACAGAAATGTTAAAAATGTGTTTCAAACCAATTATATTGTTATAATTGCAGATAAATAGTAAGCTACATCTATACCTAAAAATGTTTTGGATATATAACTATTGCGCTTCATTATCCAATGAATGATTGAAAAATACGTAAATTACTTGTTTACGAACATATACAAGCAATGATATTTCCACCTGTTATGCTTTTATTGTTCTCATAATTATAATTTTTGATGAAGCTTGTAACAAAGCAACTTTCTAGATTAATCTTCTAAGGCTTAATAATTTCTTAAATTTTATTACATATATAGTAATTATTGATATAACTTTAAAAAAATAATAGAAAAATGATATTCATTATTATCTAAAGTCTTTTTAAGTGTTTAATTTGTAGAAGTAAATTCTTGAGTTTTCATTTTGATCACGTGTATACAAACAATAAGTGACATCTAAACAAAGCTGCCTTTTCATTTGTTACAGGTAAGACAACTAAATTAGCGAACACAAATCTACTTAGTCTATTTAACTTTATAGCCGGCGTATATCGAGTTAGGTCAGTGATGTAGGTCACGAATTCGAGTGCATTCCATTATTATTTAAAACTATTAAATTTTTACTTAAATTTATATATAAAAAAGACAATATTTTAATAAGTACCTATACCATATGTGAGTGTTCTTTGAGTTGAAGTAACTTACCTTAAATCATTTATCACTCACTAGTAAACACGTAGTTGATGTGCGACCACCGGGGCGTCTGCAAAACAACTGGGATACTGAATGCTAGCAAGCTGCGCGTTACATCCTGCGCAGAGGACACCCAGGGGTCTGCGGATCCCCATATCTACGGAATACTATAAGTGTATAGCTGAAAGACCCGGGGGCGGAGTGCGGGGCTTATATAACTACGATCGATAGACGGGGCGAAGCGAGCATTAAGTTCCATACACACTGGGAGATCGTTCCAATATAAGTATTTGCTTTGAAAATAAAGTCCACTATACTTTATTACTTGCAACATTTGTATTGCATTTACGTTGTTTCATTGTAATTTATTTCTTTGTAATTTTATTTATTATACTCAGGAGGCGAAAATAATATATAAATAAAATATAAGTTTTATCATAACGTCAGGGCGTAAATTCAAATTACCATATTTTTCCTGTGAGAACTCTGACAGAATATACACAGTACTTTCATATTAATATTAAGGAAATTCCATAAATTTCATCATGTTACTTTGATATTATAACATACATAAATAATTCGTGAGATGCTGCTTTGTAAGAAATACTTAAATTCTATGAATATATATTTGATTATAAGTTATAACTAGTTCGTTTCTGTCATTAAATAATAAGTCGTAGAATATATTTATATCAATATAAAATTGTTGATTTATCTAGAATAGCAAGATGTCTAAAAAATGAGTTCAGAAACTTCACATAATAGTTGTAGAACAAAGTAAATTAATTTTATAAAAGTAATTGCTTTGTGTTTTTTTTTTTTTTAAATTATATTTTCTTCATGGAATTTTACGGACGCGTTTTATTGCGTCTTATGAGGCTTCGAATTTTTCCTTCACATCTAATTAAAAACGCCAACTCTTCGTCTCCACTGGTATTTACGATATGACAGCTTTTGTTTGACGGAATTTATATAAGAAAATTTCGAAAACGTGTCATTTCCAAAATATCCTCAGTGAAATGATGTCCAAAATTTTAATAATTACATTATAACATGGGATAGAAAAATAAAAACACGAATACTTTTTACATCGATATATTTAAAACAACATCAAAATACATTATGCGGTTTGCATTAAACTTTACTGAAAAAAAACTATAATATTAAAAATAAATTATGTAACTCGTTTCAACTTACAATATCAATGGCATAACAGATCTTTTGATATCAAAGATTGTTTGATCGTACAACTACACCTACAACTATAAGTAAGCACTTCCGAAAAATTACGTAAAAAAATTAGAAAAGCAAAAAAAAATAATAATTAGAACATTGCTTTACTTTTAAACAATTCCACGATGTTAAATACTTATTAAATTTCAGACTATATTCTATAATAGCTCTTACCTATATTTTGTTACAAAAAAAATTACTGATATCACTTTGAAAAAAAAAAAACAAAATGTTAACTAAACGGGAAGTAATGAAAATTAAAACCATTTTCGATGGCACGTAATGACTATAAATATCACCACCACATGAATAGCTTACAGCGGCAAGAATGAAAATGTTATAACTTTATAAGCATATATGAAATATATACAAAAAATCACATGTAATTACAATTCGTAATCTGGTTCGCTCGCATCAGCCAGTTTAACAAGACCTATGAAGCTCTTCTCTGGCTGCATGAGCGAGTGTCTATCTCCGCCGGTATTTCTTACAGCGAGACGATCTCCCGCTCTTAAGAAGAGCGCCGCCGCTGAGAAGCATGAGTTTGGTTTATCAAGTCTCTCAGCAGAGTGTGAGGACTGTGCACACTGTAGGAGAGTATCACGACCCTCAGAGTACGCCCCAGTGCGATGTAACACCCATGAGATCACGTCGTGGCTATCCAGGTAGTAAATCTGTAATGTATTAATAATATCTATATTCTATACTAGTTTTTACTCGCGACTTTGTCTGCGTTAGTTTTAGAATTAGACTGTATAGTTGGCCGGACGAAATCTATTACTACTTAAAGACTAAGACAAGAGATTTTGGTTGATCAACTTATTTCTTTTCTTTTCTAATGAGATGAAAAGTATCCTATGTCCTTTTCCTTATTTTAAACTATCTCTCAACCAATTTCCAGCCAAACCCGTAAAGCCGTACAGTTATAATTAGTGTAACTAACACGATTTTATATAAAGATGATTCAGCCTAACTGAGGAATGAAGGTTTGTACGGCAATTTTCTTTTGTTTCATCTCAAACAAATATTCGTACCTGAACATATACGAAGTAGACTCCGCTATGATGAACATGCACGTGTCCATTACGAGTGAGTGTTGGTCGAGGGTGGGGCGAGGCCAGGGTCCATCCTGAAGGATACCACACGTCGTGGGCAGCGCCGTGTGCCACACGTACTAGACCATTACCTGACACAAATAAATGAAAACTAATTAAATGAACATCGCCGGGGCAACATGATTGTATGTATAAAATATCGTATAACGAGTGACGCCAGAAGATTCCTGATACCACACAAGCTATGGAATGGTATTGCTAATGCTATTCTAACATCGAGGCAATCATGTAGTCTTAGGTATAGGTTAAAAGTTTTAATATGTAGTTCTTATTTTAATATACATATAGTCATATAAGTAACTTTCGTTGTGTTCCTGGAACCATCGGTTGCCAATATAATTAAATTGTTGTAGATTATTAATAATAATTAAAACTCCCGTTAATTACATTTTTAATTATTATTTAACCCGCGGTTTCGTTTACTCGGTAATATCAAGCTCGCGGTATAATCAGATGAAAGTCAAGCCGTCTCTATTAATAAGACTGATGATTTATTGGATTAAAACCTTTTTTAAATTTAACTCTTTTTAATTTAACGAGTTAGTTTTGTAAAAAGCGATCTGTATTCAAATAGCTTCAATTACAGCGGAGTAATTGAATCTCCGCTTCGGAATAAAATATCAAAGATAAATAAAAAGCGGAGCGAAATGGAAACCGAATTAAAATGTACCTGAGACTCGAAGATTATTTTACAATCGTTTACAGTTTTAATAAAAACTAACTAGATTTCTTTTAAAGTAGGTATACCAGAAATATTCAACGTCGAATAATTGAAATTGTTGTTTTATACACTATCAAAATCATATCAAAAAGAAAAACAAGAAAACAATAAGCAATAAAAATGGATATATAACGTCAATTTCTAGTTAAGAGTTATTCAAAATAATAAGATTATAAAAGAGGAACAAAAACTGTACAATATTAAACGTTTTATAATTTTAAACCCCGATTGCCTATTAAGGAAAATATTATACTACATAAAGAATCAAAGGAAATATACAAAAAAATCAAAAATGCCGTCAGAGCCACAAATAGGAGAATATTTTCAATTAAATATACATTTCTGAACGGAAATTTAATTAAATTGCTATTCATATCTCGTCCGCTAGTTATAAAGAAATTGCTTTTAATTTTATTATTAGAAATATATTAAAAATTACCTTTGAAATGTTCGTGAATTTCAGTGCTCAGATGCGAAGTGTTACCGTGGAAATGAGCTGCGATGAATGGTCTCCTCTCCTGTAATAAAACGATTACATAAATTTAAATTAAACTAATATTTTTAGGAATAATACGCGTATTTTATTATCTCCTCTGCCCGTGATCACGGTTGCTGCAAAGTAACCGATATGTCGGGAGTATGTAGTTTTAACGATAACAAAACATGCATAGTATATACGAAAAATATACGCTAAAGTCTTAGATCTCATTATGATTACATAAACTATTAATATTCATACAATTACACAGTACATTTATATTAATATGACAAAATATAAGTATATTTTCTATTGACTAAATATAATTAAGAGCAATAATAATATTATCTAAAACTATGAAGGATACTGTATAAGATGTGAGTATCCAGAAACATTATTCTATAGATTTTGTCAGTGCTTTATTTATATATACATATTTCTATAATTAATTCGTCTCTCACCTCATCATTGCTATTTCTTGCGGTTCTAGAAACTGGATGAGCGGCTGTCTTGCTGGACTCTTCTGGGAAGAATTTTTTCGTCTTGCGTCTGTAATAATATTATAGCAATAAGTACTTCACAATATTAAGAAAAGAGAAACATATATAGTTTTTTGGGTTCAATTATGTGTTTATATAAGACATATATATATTAAAAAACCTCGTTAATTATTACCAATCACCAAGTTTGAGAGACCTGTCAATAGAGACACAAATAAAAATATATATAAAACTAATGAAAGTTATTTATCAAGAAGACAAAGTTCCGAAATAAAAAAACTTCGTCGATATTCCCATTAGCGTTGAAAGTTTTCGGTGCGATCACCTTTAGGCCTTGGAGATTTAGTAAGAAGTTGTAAACTAAACGCTTAGAATGTTGAATACTTTTAATGGCGCCCCTTATAAAAGTTATCCGTAACTTGATACATTTTTAAACGATATACATGAACTGGGAACGTGACACTAATTAATATTTCAAGCAAGACTTTTCTCTGCCTTAGTACAGCCACGGGCAAAAGTATTAGGCACCCTACAGTAGGACAAGTTTTAGAGTGTTTTAGCATAGCAAGTGTAAATAAAACTGCATTTATGATTACAATAGTTTATTTTAAGAAAATAATTAATATTTTGTAGGTCCACCTTTTGACTTAATAACCGCAGCCACTCTTTTTGGCATTGACTCTACCAGCCTGAAACATTCTTCTCTTGATATATTTTTCCATTCCTGCTGTAACGCGGCCAATAGAGCTTGTTTATTGCTAATCGAGTGCCTGCGGATATTTTTCTTTAAAATGGACCAAATATTCTCAATCGGGTTGAGGTCTGGTGATTGTGGTGGCCAGTCCAAAAGATCAATATGATTTTCAGCAAACCACTTCATGGTATGCGTGGACTTGTGGCAAGTGGCGTTGTCTTGCTGAAATTTCAGGCCATCGGTGTTTGTATCACCGAAAATTTGCGTTATCGACGTTGCTAGTGCTGTTTCCAGAACTTCAGTGTATTTAACACTATTCATTCGTCCCTCACACAACACCATTTCGCCCACTCCGTCGGCAGCCATGCAGCCCCAGATCATTATTGAGCCTCCACCATGCTTAACAGTGGGAACCACACATTCTGGGTTGTATTCTTCGCCAACCCTTCGCCTAACATGAGTCACACCGGGTGTTCCAAACACCTATGCCAAACGAAAAAAACCCATTTATTTTCAAAGTTATTATTTTTTTTGCAGTACGTTATTTTAAAAACATTTGTGTTTTAATATTGTACATAAAATAAATAACAATACCTGAAAGTTAGATTCGTCTGACCACAGTATGTTGGACCAATCTTCTACTGACCAATCTCTATGTTTGAGTGCCCACTCCAACCGATTTTTCTTATTGTGTTCTGACAGCCACGGCTTCTTCCTTGCTTTACATCCTTTTAATCCAGCTTTAAGAAGTCTTCTTCTCACAGTATGAACACTCACTGAGCTTCCTTTTGCCTCAGATAATGCTGCAGCGAGCTCTAAAGCAGTTTTTTTCCTGTTTTGTAGAGACTGCCTAATCAACAATCGATCTTCCCGTTCAGTAGTAACTTTTCTTCTGCCTGTTCTTGGTCTATTTTCATGGGTGCCAGTCTCTTTGAAGCGATTTATAGCATATTGAACTGCACATCGCGAGCACTTCACTTCTCGGGCTATTTTAACCTGAGACATGCCTTGTTCATGTAAAATCTTAATTCTTAGACGCTGTTCAGCACTAAGTTCAGATTTTTTCGGCATGATTAACACGTTAAATGTTAGTCTTTAGAATTGTGATAGGAATAGTTGCGTAGAAGACGTGTATGTTCACTGCAAGCACTGATAACACACTATAACCCGAAACACAAAAAAAGCAAATTCGAAGAAACACCGCTTAGGAGCACACCTGGATGTCATAAATATTTTCTTTTATCTTAATTTGGTTAAAAATTGCCGCTAATACAATAGCTAAACCATAAAACACACACTTGACCGCTATCTAATGAGATAGTGACTAACAATAGGGGTGCCTAATACTTTTGCACGCAGCTGTATTTTACACTGCTCCATAATAATAATCTTTCGATTTACTGTCTGTGTGTTTTCATAGAGAAATTAAATTATTGCCTACCAACACATCTACAAAAGAAAAAATATATATATTGTGTTATGATACATAGAAAGTAAGTAAAATATACAAAGTATGAGAAAATATTATTCCGTGATCTCTATTTTGATCAGTAATTAATTTTATTAACAATATAAAAAGTCAAATCAAAATATTTATACCTTTAAAGGTAACGAAAATTTTAAGATGCTAAGGGTACCACATAAAATTTATCTATATATAATTTATAGCAAACAATCTACGTACTAAAATTTTTAAAAATATTATAGAACAAGTTTCATAAATAACATTTTTTAAGGTATATGAAAAAATATTGAACACGATATTATGATCGCATATTTCCAAATAAGTGCTTATTTTATAGTTAGTGTGACATCCCAGACGAAGCTTATTGATTTATTTGGCGACGCCATGGCCTTACATTAGAGAGTAGAGACGTATCATATTTATAACACTAAGTAAAGCGGGATATTGTTTTATTATTAATGTAAAAAATTACCTATATAAGTTAAAATATCAATAGATACATAGATAAGAAGAAATAATGAAGAGTAAATTCATATTAGATACGTGACTTTGTTATAAAGTTATAACTTTGTATATGAAGCCAGGATTAGGGTTTTGTTAAACTCGATACGCCATGCGGTTATGTTCAGCCGACGCGGTGTAACATTATAATGAGTTTCTGCTTACATTGATACAGCATTTTATAATAATGAAGCTGGCACAAAATAATCTATAAGATTAAAAAAGTTCAACAAAGAGTTTCTATTAAAATTAAACTCTTTTGAAAATATTTGTTTTCGCTAAACCTATTTTTCGCTTTCATCGTTAAATCTGAACGCATTTAACTGAAGTTATTTAAATATTTTATTAAGACTGCCTCAATAAAATTCCTTTTAAGGTTTACGGTCAGCTTGATATATTGGCTGTATAGTGAAGACTTACGAGCGTTGTTTAACGCTTTTAAATAAAAAAAGTGCAGTGTTCGTAATGCACTCAATACACCTATTAATAGTATATATTGACACATGATATTAAAAGTGTATTTTAAATGATGAAAGTAATGTATTAATTGATAAGAATATTTTTAACGAAAGCTAGAGAGAGTAAATAATATTAGATACTATGGATGCAAACGGCTACACTCTAAGTAGGTACTAATGCTTTTATTTACTTTAGTGTATTCAAATTTATCAGATATTTGATAATTTATTCCAGCACCTTACCTTTCTTCCAGTTTTGACACTGATCTCGGAGGAACGAAATCGTTTTCAGGTGTTGAATCGGAGAATAAGCTACGTCGCTTTCTAGAAGTTTCTGTAAACGAAAGATTTAGATTTCTGACTACAAAAGGCAATTACATATTAAGAAAAACATCACAAAATAGCCAGAGCTAGATATATTTTAATGTGTTAAGTTAAATTTCGTTGTATTAAGATTTAATTAATATGATATACCTACCTGGTAAATAGTTCGGTAGCTCCGGGTCTTTGTTGAGCATATTCTTCAGCGTCGTTATATCTTCAGTGGCCACATTACCAACGAAGTCCTCTGGCTTCAAACGCACCATGTTCGTTGTGCCAACCTTTGAACAGTTAATTTCATTAAATGATTACTTTTAAAAATCGTATAGTCATTTATAACAACAATAAAATCACATATAATTTGACAAGGTTACACTACTTTTGGCTAACAATATTAATTATCAAATTATTCTACATTAAATGTGTAAATAAAAGTTAAACAACAAATTCTTTAATCGATATAACGATGTAAGTTATCATTATCGATATTGTAATCGATCTTCTACAACGAACGATCTTCCCTCCCTCTAATTACTATCGGTACGATATAATCACTTCCCAGCTATCCGTAAATACCATAACTTGATTGTAAATACACCATTTATGTTTAATGCGTAAATACAAATAGTATAAATTAAATATTAAGGAGAATTTTAGTAGATAGGAGTAAGTTCCAACCTTTTCTCTCCTCCTGTCGTAGTCCGGATACCAATCACCGCTCTCCGCGTCTTCATCACCGTCATACAAGTCTTCATCATCACCAAGCTGGCTTTCATCCTCCAAAACCGTCAATCCACGCAGCTTGTCCAGAGACTCATCACTTTGACCTACCTTATCTTTGGTCTCAACGAAATTACTGTCTTGATCTTCGTCTGCGTATATCTGGAGCAAAAACGAATTTATTAAATATTAGGTCTGATGTACAAAAAGTATGACGGTAACCTAATTTTTGATACCGAATTAAATGAATGAGTAATGTAATCAAAATTGGCGCGCTCCAGTAATTTCACACACCCTGGTGTCACTTCCAAATATATTCTGATTTATTTATGCGGATTTCTGCTTTGGATAAAGTAAGTTGATTTCGTCAAAGTAGAACCCTATTATTTATATAAAAAAACTTAAATCTGCGTATACAAGTGTTATTTATAATAAATCATAATTATAATAATATAATAAACATTGTATTCGTTTTTAGCGGTGATAATGTTACCTCGCGTAATATAAACGCGGTTCTCAAGTAACGCGACATTCGATACGTCGTTAGATAAAAAAAATATATTATCAGTCAGCACAACGATTTTATAACGGCTGAATAAAAAAGCAAATGACTCTGTAACATCGATGTGGGCGTCAGAAAGTGGCTTTAAACGAACGAAAATAAAACTATATCGCTTCATTTGATTCCAATTGAGAACGAGGGCGTAATAAATGTGGCTGTAAAGTATTTTATTGGTCTTATGATTGAATAGAACATTTATTACGACCAGCTGCATTATTTGATGATTGACGGCTATTAAAACGGCGTCCATCTTGAATTTATTCAAAACATTTTTATGTTCTTATTTATAGTGCTTGCCGCTCACTGTTCTATGTTATCTTTATCTGACAGCTCTATTCGGTATTTTTATTTCGGCTTCTCTTTTATTTATTAAGTCATTAATTATACTGTGAAATAATGATCTATTATATAGTTTTAGATAACGTTTTAGGAAGACGTATCGTAAATATAAAACAGAGCTAGTAAATCAAATATTCGACTCTAACCGTTCCTTTGAAATCTATTCTTGTAATTTCCTGTCAAAATTATAGAAATGGCGAAATCTAACTTATTTATGATTTCCTCGGACCTATAATACAATAGGAATTTAAGAACGAATTCAATTCGTTACTTTGATAAGAACAGCTTTTAATACAATACAATATAATACCTATCAGAATTAGTTATAGGTGTACGCTTCATGGACTAAATTCATTTAAACAATGCTATAAATGGTTCTCCATTAAATTTACTATATAAGTAATATCGCATATATCAATCTACGGTCTTAACTTTAAAGTATGCAATTATAATCTGTTAATTTTCTCTAAATCAAAAGACTACTGAATAAAACAAATTTATTTTTAAATTGACATACCTATATACATTAATTTTGACAGATCAAAATTCAACAACGATCATCGGACATACTGCTTACGAGATTATTTATATTATTTTACATTTTACAATACGTTTTCGTTACTTTGCAGTGATCACGTGCCGATGAGAGTTTTTGTCAGCTAGTCTTGTTAGTTGTCATCTACTGCCAACGATTTCTTAATATCTCGAGGTCAGGCATTGTGGTCACGGATATAGGATTTTTATGAATGGATTCCACGTGTTAGGTCATTTGGTAGTTATTTTCTTTATTGAAATTTATTATGTTATTAAATTTTAATAGCTTTGGGACTTAATCTTGGTATGAACTGGTTTCAATGGGGGCGGTTCTATGATTTTCCATACTATATTCAATGTTTGACTTGTGCCATGTGTTATCACCAAATCCTGCTGATATATGTTCCTTAAACCTTCGATCAATGGTGTTTGTCATTTGTCCGATGTAAATATAGATAACTTTACGTATAAAAAATACAATAAAGCTTCTCGGTTTTAAGCTTGTATAAAATTTTTCCAATTTATTATATTTCGTCTCTTAACTCTAACACAAACCAACAAATATAGAAATAAATATTTACGCCCCTGACCTATTGACAGCGTTTAAATTGTTTTTGACAGGCCGCGTGCCTAAACCGTTAGATTTATCGTCTATGGTAATCTAAATATAATTTCTATTAATTGAAGAATATTGAAACCGGAATTAAGAAATATTCTGAAAAATATTCTTTTTATTCTATTTAAGATATTAAAATTATTATAGTATCTTACTCATGCATTCGAAAATTTGTATTAATAAAACAAGCAGAGAAAGATTATTTTGAAAGATGTTATTTAAATTGCAATCGAAGATCAAATTAAATTTATCGTATGAAATGTTTTTCCAATCGAGTAACGTGTAATCATAAAAATACATTTAATTTAAAATCTCAATACAGCATCTGCACATGTTTATCATTATTAATATGATTCATAATAATTACTTTAAAACTGAAGTATTTTCATACATCTGTGACATTACCCTATAATATTTGTCTCGTTGTGTCAAAGCGCTAACTGACAAGCGAGAATTAATGATTTACTGACAGTGATTGGTAGCCAACAACTGTCATTGCCGCAGTGATACTCCCAACTGGAAAGCTTAATACTATGTATTTAAGTATACTAAATCGTAAATATCACCGAACGATCGATTGTTGATGATAATTTATTAATAATATTTGAAGTTCAGTAGTTAAATGTTATTATATTTGACATTTACTGAAAATACAAACATTATATCGTCAGGGTTTGAACTTTGAAATAATATAATGCGTATGTCACAAGCATTGTTGTGGGTGTGACGTAATGTTAATTAATTTAATGTATGCGTAATGGATTTTGGTTTAGAAAATGTCTGTGTGCTCTTCTTCTCTTTATAAACTTCGATTGTGTTGAATTTCGTGTCCATTTCTTCCCCTAATGTTTCTAAAAAGGTGTTAGTTTTTGATTGACCTATTCATATTTTCGTTTCACTATTATAAACATCCGCTTAAAACTTAATTCTTCATTTTTCTCTGACGTCATTCATCGATAAAGATAAAATTACAAGTACACCACAACAATGGCTACTTATTATTTCCGAGTATAGAATTATCATAATAGTTCTTTTAAGTATACAATTCATAGCTTGCTGCTATTTTGACCTTCCTTGGCCCTTATAAGTAATATTTTTATTTTGATCTAAAACAAATAAAAGAAATACATATATTCCATTTTTGATATAGTAATTACAACTTCGTTAAAATCTTTCAATAATCCGAAGGAAACTAATATTCAAATAAACTTATTATATCAAATAAGGCTTACATTTGCTTCAAAACTTAAAGAATTACCTAGTTAACACAAGTACTGTTATTAATACTAAGAAAGGTATGTGTTTTTAAAGCATGCTAGGTTTACATCTAGAAGACTGCAACTAAATGTCACTCTGTTTTAGCTTAGACCTTATTTTGTATGTATTAGTTGTAAGTCAGTTTTGTGAACTTAAATTAAAAAAAAAAAAACAAACAAGGTATTTTATTATATAAATTGAGTTGCAATAATGTTTGTTATCATAAACCAACTACGTGATAATCAGAGCGTAATTTTAAGCTGGCATCGCATCAATAGCCACCGCCGGCGTCGCCTTTGTCTTTCAGGTTCATTGAACTTGTGTCAAAACGATTACAAATATTACTAACCAATACTTACTTAACGATCAAAAATATTATCTATTTTTTATTTAGTTCAAACATAAACAAAAATTTTCTGTGTTTGGTTGCAAAAAGAATAGATTGTTTGTACGAAGTCGTGTCCTAGTTATGAAAATACTGGAATAATGTTAAACGGCTGTAATGGGATGAGTAAATGGATCAAGCTTCATTTCCGCTTCGTTTGACCTGACGTGGAATAACCGGGAGCCATCAGCCAATCCAATTCCTGCCAGCGTTTGAAATAGAATCTAAATTGGGCAATTGACTAGACTTTTCACTTGTCATAAAACTTGCGACCGTGTTTTTGTGTGCTTTCAAAACAATACTTTTTTTTAGACACTAGATGAATAAACAAATTGTAAAATGTATTTCTATATACAATATTTTTAATCTAGGTATGGTATACATGACATATTTTTGTTTAATCTGCATATGTTTTTGAATGTATCCGAAAACAAAAGAATAAATAAATCGAAATTCCAAACAAAAATATAGATAAAGTCTTATATTTGGTATAAAAATAGTTAATTACCTTTCATGTTTGTCTATCATCAATAACAAAGGTTTCTTTTTACACATTGACAAGCTTTTCTATCAGCTATATGATATATTGATACAAAAGGCGTAACAATACCCCGCTATATATAGAAGTATTTTCTACGTAGGTAATAGAAGACGATAATACGAAAATTCCAACTTTTATGAAAGGCGGACGAGTTTAATATGTCATACCAACATATTGTTCCAGTCGTTTTTAGACATTTTATTTTCTATTTACGCAAAATAAAGAGAATTGAATTCTTTTTTGATATTAACTAATTAAAATTTCAACAAAATATGTATGTCATATTAATTAATTTTGTATCTAAATACGGCGTCATTAAATATTATTGGAATTTAAATAGTAAATACATATAGGTTTTTTGTATATACAGCTCGTAATCAAAAGTTCAAGAGATATGAAAAGTATTTTTATCTCTCATTGTAATCGCTTTCCATTTTTTTGTGACGAAACCTTGCAAAGATTTATGAAAGTACGAAAAAATTCAATAAAAAACTTCTCTTAAACAAAAGTAATCACGTCATTACGTTACGTGTTCACTTAATATCTTCTATATATGTATATAAAAATGGATTGCTGTTCCTTAGTCTCGCTAAAACTCGAGAACGGCTGAACCGATTTGGCTAATTTTAGTCTTGAAATACTCCTGGAAGTCCAGGGAAAGTTTAAAAGGTGAGAAAAATTGGAATTATTGCCGGGAAAACCCTAAAACAGCCCTTTTCTATTTCGCATACAAACGATTTTTTGACATTAGACTTGACAACTAACTAATATGTCAATCATTCTGTTCGATTGAAACAGTAGAAATGTAATAAATACCAATACCGGGTTATTGAAGACGGAATAGAGTTGACCGGGCAAGCTATACCTATATTACTAATGACGAAATTAACGCGCACGAAGTCGCGGGCAAAAACTAGTTTTTATAATA